ATTGCCGGAACACACTTCGCAATCTGCAAAGTTGCAGACGTTCTGTAATCTCACCCTAAAGGCGCTAAAGGCAAGGCAAATTTAATGAGCTTAGTACGCAAAGTGCTGGTAAAAGCATTCTCGTCAAAATGATCCTCGCACAATAGTTTTTTTTTAGATGTGTAGGGAATATTTAAAATATCAAACCATTTATCTCTAAGCGTAATAATGGACGGAAAAGTAAAAAATTTCTTATTAAGTGAATGTAAATAATATTTGCTTCTGCAATTTGGAGCAGCACATGATAATGTAAATTTATTATAAGTTAATGACATCGTTAAGGACCTCAGTATATTTTTACTTACTTAAATCTAAATTTCTTAAATCTAAATTACTTAAATCTAAATTACTTAAATTACTTAAATCTAACTAAAACTAAATTAAAAATAAGATTAATTAAATTTTATAAAAACCTACATTTTCCGCGACTGTCATGTTTTAGTTTTAGCTAATTTATTAGCAAAGCCAGATTTACACCACCTCATAATATTCAAATGTAGCTTTAACTTTATAAATTTATAACAATTATCCCTGTATTTGATCATTATATTGTATTAAAGTGACATTTAAAAGATTGCATTAGTAAAATTACTGATTTCTTTAATTATTATATAGGTGTAAAAACGGCTTTTATTTAGTGCTCGCAGCGCGTGAAGCGCGATATGATAAACTACAAACAAGGAAACAATTCCCGCCTATTATTCAAACCTTCTCTTTTTTAGTTTTTCTATGCGTACTGAAGCTGAACGAAAATCGTTGAACCATTGAACGTGTTGAACGACGTCTCCCGACCACTCTTTGTCGAACAAACATACGAGCGATTAATATGAACGGACGCGTTCACTAAAATTGATTCGAGAATTGCACTAATAAGAAATCCTCGTTCATGACGTCATGAACGGGGTACGCTCGCTGAACTAATATTTCGAGAATTGACTCCCTGTTCTGTCTGATTTCATGGGCGTCGTTCAGGGGGGGGGGGGGGGGCAAGGGGGGGCAGTTGCCCCCACCTGGCTTTTACGACTTTACAACACGTAATGGCTGTAAGTCACAATACTAAATTAAGTACTAAAATTTAGCCCTAAATTAAGTAATGAATTTAGTACTAAAATATTTTTTTCCTTTTGCAACGATACCAATTTTTATTACTAAATTAAGTATAGGCGCACGCGCATTGACGTATTATTACGTGAAATTAGCACAGAAATGAAATATTCTATGTAAAAGAGACAAGTGAATTTAAAGATTTTTTATTATGACTTTGACACTAGTTGATTTGACAACAACCAAACACAGCAATGCTACTAAAACCCACGAAAAAACAATAAAACCTACAAAATCAAACAAGCAAAATTTATCTAAGAGATAATGCAAAGTTGTAGCTAAAAAATGGTACAGAAAAGACCGTTGTGTGAACTTTTTTAAGAAAAACTTTTACGCAACATTTCAACGCATTTTTAGTACTAAATTTAGTAGAAAATAGAACAAGGCATAAGCCGCAATATATATTATCTCAGTAGGGACACTGACGGCAACTGCCGTCAAAGGCTTAATGTCCTATAGATACATTTTGCGCGATATAACGTCAATTTTGTATATCGAACTATGTAAAGTGTCCCACTAGACACTTGTATGATAAAAATTGTTTGCGAAATGTCAGTGGTGAGGGGAAAAATTTGGTTCGGCGATAGACAAAATTTTGGCGCATTTAGTTCAGATTTACGCATTATTAGGGACGGTGTCTACTAAATACTTGGCTTAGTACGTACGTAAAATGGACAAAAAGCAAGAACAACAACTACTTAGGTGGTATGATGGGCTTGATACGAAGGATGAAGGGTCAGAATCGGATGCTAAAAGCGCACAGGATCCATATAGTACCGAAGATTCCATAGATGGTCCTAAATACACTCAAAGTAATTCTTTATATTCTATCAGTGGAACAAGGATAACTGTATATTTTTTGAAGATTCTAGGTAATTTTCTTTTTCTGGAATTTTGTTTGTAGCTGGCCCGTTTCAAAAGAAAAACGAATCCAAAATGCAGTTGCACTGCCCAAACTAGGTAGGCACTATTTTTATATAATTATTATCGATAATGTATGTTGCAATATATATTTTTTATAATAATACGCTTTTCTGTTTTTATTTGTTATAAATACAACATGTTAATCCTTTCCATGGTAAATTGAAAACCAGATATTTAAATTTTGTTCCAGATCAAGCCGTCAGTGGAAGCTAAGTTGACTCTAAAGGCCTGATAGATTAAGAAGAAAATGTAACTGACTCTGTGGAGCCGATGGAACAAGAAAAAGATGTATGGGAAGATACCTTATGTGACCCATTAGACTTTATGTTAAACCATGCTTCTGTTGGGATTACACAAAATATTGAATCCAAGACTCCTAGAGAAGTTTTTGAAATGATTTGGACTAAAGAGGCAATAGATTATATCCTTAAAGAACAAACACATATGGCGAGACACTCAACATATCCAACAGACATAAAAGTAGACACGAGCGGTTTAAAATATTTCGAGAAATATCCGCGGATAAATTGAATAAATTTTTTGGTTTATGCCTTTCAGCTGGCCAACTGAAATCATGTTCTTGAGGCCATCCCTATACCAGAAGATACCAGAAGATTCTAAAAAACGAGGGAAATATTATAAGCGCTGTAAGCATTGTTATATGATAAAAAAAGAAAATAATCTGCTTGGCAGTGTCGGGATTGCGTCGACAAGCCACCCCTTTGTGTAGGAAAATGTTTCCAGGATTGGCATGAATAAGTGTCTTTATCTCTTTTTTTGTTATTTTTACCAAAGCGTTTTGTATTTTGTTACTAGTTGTAGTTCCATATGAATACATATTTTCTTTAAAATTGACGTTTTTCATTTTATTTTTTATGAGGTATATGACGTCACTGTCATTTTGAGAATAAACTATGCTTTTCGCAGGACATGCCGTTATATGACGCAGTGGTTTTTATCTATATTTCTAATTCTTTGAAAAAATGTGAGTTTAAAGCTATATGTTTCGTTTTTCTACGTGTAAAAGTACTTATTCTTCCACTATGACAATTTGAGCACACTTGACTTTATTTTAGTGCCCTGACGGAACAAAGGCCAATGACGTGATTTCACGTCATTGTCCGCGAATGTGTTAATTTAGTATCGTAACATACAGCCTTAATATATGCATTACTAATATGTCTTTAGGTAGGTACTATGTGCCAAAGTTTGCCGAAGCTGTATACGGTTAAACTACGTAACCAATAATGAATTTTATTTGTTGCACTAGTGTTACACTCGACACTGTATTTAAACTGTCATACTTGTCTAAAGTATATGCTACATGTGCGCTACAGTCAAAGATTTGAAGCTACACTGAACAAATCAAATGCGATTAGTGCAGAAAAATCCACTATAACACAATTACACAACTAGCACTGGCTCATATTGACGATTATCCTTGTGCACGCATAATAATAAACACAATATGTTAGATAGCATTTAAATTGATTGAATTGTTTAAGGAATTTTTTTAAAAAGTTGGTAAACACAAAACAAAAAGCAACCGCAGTTGCTGTGTTGTAAATTGTAAAAATACTAGCAGAAATAACAGCGTAAATTATACAAATTTTCAGTAGCAAAATGGAAATGAAATCAAAGAAATAAATATTTTGTGACTTATTGATAGGGAACCAATTTTAATTATTAATTTCTATGGGTTCTTTCGAACTAAAAATGAAGAAATATAAATTACAATCGCAAATATACCAATTATTTTTGTTAATACGTTTTGATACTACGTTATTATGTAATAGTGATGTTTTTATTTTCACATTATAACCTATTCTTCAATGACAACTTATTAAGTTTAGGCAAAATATTATACATTTTCTCATTAATATTGTTGCCTGTCTGTTTTATTGATTTTTATTGATTATACTACTTTTTTTAGCTAAAGTAATAAACATATGTAATAATAATTAATTTTTTCACTTGTTTACAAATCCATATACTTTTATTAAAACCAACATATATATTTTTTAAATACGAATTCTATTAAAAATTATATTGTCAGTATACGCAAATATCTTCCGTTATTTCATAAATTGGTTGGTGCTGCTGTCACTCACAGAGCGAATAATGAATAAAAATAGGCTGACTGGGCTTTGCAAGATGAGCGTACACCAAAAAATAATCGCAGAAAACTAAAAAGAAATCATGTTTTCTGTTATCGATTATTTTTGGTAGAAGAAAAAGAAATTAAAAGTTGCATTTTCCTAGTGTTGGTCGACGTGTTAGAGTGAGTTTTTTATGTTTCTGTGTTTTTATAAATATTTTATTTTTTTATTATGTATGGCTCTGTCTTCATATTTTACTTTTATATCACACCTTCTGTTTTTTAAAAATGTCTTTCTTGTTTTTTTTATTTTAGTTTTTGTCTTTTTATTTTATTTATTAGAAACTTTTGTTAATTTGTTTTACTCCTTTATTTTACATTTTCTTTGTTTTTCAACAAATAACCATTCTAAATTTTTTCAAAATTTTGTCCCTCCCTATAGAATTGTGTAACGACGCCCATGACTGATATTATAATACGATACTTACATTTTAAATATAATTGTTTTATTTTATAAAAAAAGTAAAAATTGAAAGATATGCATAACATTTATGTATTACTACTGCAATTTGTTGAAACTAAAAAGTAAAAGGTTCGGAAACAAAAATACTCTTCAAACAGATTTGAAAACGGACATAGATTCAAATAGGATTGCGTACAATTTAATTCAAATCGCAAGTGCGGGTGGCTCAAAATTATTTTTGTAATATTGCCATTCGTAAATTGTGTTCTAATAAATTTTATCTAAATATCGTACGCCTCTGTACCATTTATTAAGATCTAATAGATAAGAAATCCGATTTCTATAAGAGCCCTTCACGTTTTTTGTAGTCGACAATATTTTTATGATACTCAGTGTTTAGTTAAATCATTTTAGTGATTTTTTTAATAATGAGTATGTATGTTTTTAAGTCTAATTTGCAAGAGTCGTTAACTCCACCTGATGGAACGAGTAAGTGTAAATGGTCAAAAGATTCTAAAAATCAGGAGCCATCGGTACACACCAAATGGGACTGGTAATAATTTTTGTCTTATTTTTTATATTAAGCGTATCAAAAAATGTTTCTTTAATATAAATTTGATTACGGTAGATTAAACAGAGGCAATAAGTTTTTTTTTTTCTACATCCACATGTATGTTATCTATTTTCAGTAGAAAATGGGTCAAATTTCAGGAGTTACAAGGTGGAGAAAATTTTTTTTTTTTTAATATTTTTACGAGTAAATTTTATGAATGGTAGTTTTTTGGGTGATAGATAAAATTTTAATTTGAAATAGCATTTAAAAGCTGCGTTCCATATAGAAACTGTTCGTAATTTTTTTTTACAATTTTAAAATTATATTTTCAGCCCTCCACCAGCCCACAAAATATCTAAAAAATTAAATTAAAATTAAATCTAAAATTTTAATTAGCTATACCCATTAAAAGTTGTGTTTAAGCATATACACTGGTTGTTATTTTTTCGATATAAATACGTTTCAATCCTTCTACTACCCCCTTAGAAAATTTATGTAGACAAAGAAATTTACTTTCGTCATGACAAAATTGAAATCCCGATTTTAAGTAGAATTGTAACCCAACTATTTTCCGCTATAAAAGCGCCCTTTAATTTACATTCTTTTTAATATCCCACTCCCACCCTTACATAAAAATAGTACCTACTTTTAACCATAGAAGATAAACAGTAAGTTATTGGCACTATCTTTAGTAAAAAAAATTATGGAGTAAATTAAATAAATGATTGTGGACATCACGTATTTAGCTTTTTCATAAACATGAGTGGTGCCATAAACTTGCCAGTCGAAAGTAAAAAATAAAAATCAAATACCTAATAAAATATAATGGCTGTAACGTGAATTTTGGTACTTTAACATAAAAAATAGATAATTTTATGACAAGATAATTTTTAGTAGGTGACTGACAATTAGATACTCTTATTGTTCTTGATAAAAATGGTATGTGTCTTTTCCGTGGTAGCCAGTTGAGACTGGAACCTTACGATGGGAATAAAAACTGGTACTTCCTTAGTTTTTCCCTGCAATTTTTCCAGGACTTTGTTTCATGAAAATACAGGCCAGGACTAGATACAGCTTCTTCTTATGTGGGACACTCTAAGTTCTTCTCGTTTAAGTTGGCATAGTCTCCTTTAAGACTCCCCTGGTCTCCTTTATCTTAAGAAATATAAACACGGTTTTAGTCACTTATAATCCAAATGTCTTTATATATTTTAACACGTGATAATAAATATGAAGAAATTTCCAGAATAAAGTAATATTAAAACATATTAACTACTAATATTACAGCAATTAATTTAGATCAGCTTTTATACTAAAATGTAAGTTTCGCCATTATTTTGTGACCTTGAAAATGTCTGGCGAACATGTTGGAGAACATGTTATTCAATTGCACATATTAAAAATAGGCAGTGGGTCAAAAAATATGAATTTGGCACAAGAGTAGAGATTTTTCGGTTAGAATTCAACCATAGTTTTATGGATGATGGTTGTGATTTTTTAGCTCTTTTTTTGGAGAGTTGAAACATTTTATAGTTACACCGTGACCTTCACTAAAAATGTTTTTTAAATGTGGTCTGTGATTGTAAAACTATATGGCCTACGTATTAATTTTATATTTTTTACGGAAAATCGATAATATAGATAATATAGAAAACATAAATTTACGTACTTTTAAGGTTTATAGTCCATTAAAGATTATGCATTAATAAAGTATGTTAGGCACATAATGACAATATTAATATTTAAAGGTTTTAAATAAAGGCTTGAAGATATTACAGTTCGAAATTTATTTTATTGACCATAACACATTTTCTTTGGAATGAAAGTATTAGTTCCTGCTTTTCAGTTAAGCTGCATAAATCAATTCATATTTTAATCTAAATGGTACTAAGCGCAATAAAGTTACAACACCTAAACAATATAATGAACTTTTATATTTAGAATTAAATAATTTAGTTAAAAACTTTGATTGTATGAATTTATTAAATTTACAAATAATTACGTTACAAAAAGTCATATGTGAATTTTCAATTTCTATTGATGTGATAGTTATTTAACTGCGTTTTACAATATGAATACATGACTTGGCTTTGGCACAAAACCCTTTGTAGTTAAACTACTAATCCGAATCAGAACCTTGATATTATTACTTCTGAACTTAAAATGTGGTACACTAGTCAAAATATTTGATATTTGGTATAATAATTACTACAATTTGAATTATTTTTCACCAGAGATTTGCACTAGGCAGGAGATGAAGTACATTCTGTATATATTTTTTTTATAAGTATCTACTTATATTATTATGAAATTAATTACCTATGTATTTTTTCAATAGGAAACCCAAAAACCAAAAAATTCTGCCAGATATTCTCGCAGCTATAGGCAATACTCCTATGGTAAAATTAAATAAAATACCACAGTCTGAAGGCGTCGAATGTGAAATATGTAAGTAATTTTTTTTTAATAAATAATTTCGTTACCTCATTATTTTTTGATATATCATTTAAATTTTATTTATATCCATTTCATTGATATAAAAGAATGAAGACTGACCATAATGAGGACCATAATTACAAACTAGCCGATTTTTAGGGTTTTATTGTAAATAGTAGTCGACTTGTACATAGTTATATAATAATAAATAATAAATTCTTTATTGTCCAACATAAAATCTCCATTTATAAGACAATGTAAATTAGAATACAAAAATGTAAATATAATGCAATCCCACATCAAAGGTATAGATAAAACCATAACCATCAATTAGCCAAAATTTAGGTGACAAAATAAAATATATACATAAGAAGAAAACATTATTCCGTTTTTTTTTTAAATATAGGCAACAAAATAAAATATATGATATATTAGTAAATAAAAAAGAAATCATGAACATTATTCCATTTATAATATAACAACAACTAGAGTATTCTAACTAGAGTATTATTCTAAAAGTGAATTTAAAGAAAAATATTAACTGTATTTATCTAAAATGAATGTTAGTGAATCATGATTAATATAAAATAAAAATAAAAATACCCTTGATGAAAAATATGTGGGGAATCAATATAATTTTGTGCCAATTTATAGGGGAACGTCGGCCCTACATCTTAGTTGTAAGAACTGGACATTGAAACGATGTAGCAAAATAGATTGGTCAATACCTCTGGCAAGTCTCCTAGATAAAAATTTAATCAACTTGCGTTGAACTTCTTCTAATAAATTTATATGCACAATCCCAAACACTCGATGCGAATTCAAGTTTCGATTTTATGAGCGCAAAAAATAGTGTTTTCAGAGCAATTTTGTGACAAAAAAGTTCTACAAGTTCTTATAATAAACCCTAAGGTTTAGAAAACTATATTATTATGATCTATAAATTGCAAACCAGAATAAAATGTTAGTCCGAGATCTCGCATGTGCGTAACCCTTGATAAAGATATGTTATTTATCTGATAATTATGTAAAATTAGTTGGAGCTTGCGACCAAATGTACAAATTTCACATTTATCCAAATTTAGGAAGAGATTGTTACTTGTACGCCAATCAAAACTTTTATTCAATTCTGTTTGAAGAAATAAACAATGTAATTGAGAAGTCACTTTTGAGTAAATTTTCAAATCATCAGCAAATAATAAATGTTTGCACTTTAATGATGTGGAAGGATAATGAATAAATAATAAAAAGAGCAAGGGTCCCAAATTAGACCCTTGAGGGAAACCTGATGTAGGGTAATATGTCTAGAATAGAAACGGTTGCAAGAAATAAATTGTCCCTTGTTATATAAATATGATTTTGTAAATGTAGTGAGAGAAGTAAAAAAACCAATTTTTTTTAATTTATCTATTAATATTTTATGGTCAATCTTGTCAAAACCCTTGGAGAAATCAGTGTATATGACATTAACATGTTGTTTACTGTCCACAGCTTCAGCTATATACTGAGTAAGGTCTACAAGATTGGAAGTGGTGGATCTTTGTCGCATGAAACTATGCTGATTGATTGAAATAAAACTTCCAGTTGTGAATTTATTTGGAAGTTTATTAATTGCCTTTAAAAAATTGTTTTTCGCAAATTTGTGAAACGTTGGACATGTTGGAATATGATTTACATCTAAGTTGCTAGCGATAAATTGTGTTGGAATATAGACACTTTCAAAATAATTTGCGAAACCTTGAAAAATATAACCTGGCATAGTAAAAACATTTTCATTGCAAAATATCTTTCCGGGAGTTTACGTATTATCCTTTTTTTGTTGAACATTTTCTGGATTAATAATGATACTATTTTCAAAAGAGTTCAGATTGTTTTTAAAAGTGTCTTGCATTTGAGCTTGAATTATTATCCTAAGTCTAGAAAATTCGTCATAGTAATATTGAAATTTTGTTTTTCTAAACCGTTTCTTAATATTTTGAATTATGTTTGAAGTATACCAGGAGAGATATTTGCGATTATGTTCTTTATATTTTGGAATATACATGTCTAAAATATAGTAATTTTTTCCATTGCTACCATAAGACAAGTTCCCTTTGTACTGGTGATGCAAACATAAGCTAGTCTTTGTACTTTTAAAATATTATCTCTGGTAGTAGCTAAACTAGTTACTTAAGGCTACCGCTCTAGGCTACATCCCCCTAAATGAGGATGGGTCTTACTATTGTTGCAAAAATCCATCGCAGAGTATTCGGGTTAAATCCCCATCTTTTTTTCGAAATGTTTCTGCATGCCATTAGGGCTTTTGTTGCCATATTTACACTTTCTTTTCATGTATGTTACAGAGAAGTTCTCTTTTCCTTGAAAAGTGTAGTAATGTTGTTTTGTTGGGATTAAACTGAGTACCACTCTACGACCTTATATTCTGGTCTTTAATAGTCCTCTTTGGACTATACCACACAAGATATGTCTAAATTTGCCTTTATATGACTATGTTATCGGCATAACCTTCTCAGGCAGAATGACCAGGTCATCTGCATACGCTATTGTGTAGTAACTGTCAATATTGAGGCGGCTGATGAGGATATCGAGGACCATGTTCCACAGTAGAGGTGATAACACCCCTCCCGGTGGACATCCATTCGCAACCAAGCCTCCTTCCTATATTCGCATCTTCTACACTTACGTTTACTACTCGCTGATTGGGCTCCTAATTCGTTTCTCCTTCTCCTTGTGGGCATCCTCCAGCTTTGAAGATAAAAGAGGTGTCGGGTCCTATCTGCGTCTTTGTAATTCTAGTAGATAGCAGCTAAGCCATCCATCTGGATGTGGAGTTATCTACTCCTCTGCATACAAGTGCTCTTTATACAGATTTTTGTGGCGTGTTGTCAAACTCCATCTAAGAATAATTAATACAAATGTAGGAGAATTTTATGCACTTTTGCAGATTCTACTAAATGAAAAGCGCTAGTTAAAATAAATAGTAGTTGACAGATTTCGAGTTATTTTCATTCATTGTTTTGAATTTTTTTAAATATTTTTATATTCTGAGATATTCAGGGTAGCTTTATTTTAAAAATTAAAAAAATCATCTTTTATATTGTTTTTTATTAATCTTTATATACTTTTTAGTTGGAAAATGCGAGTTCATGAATCCTGCTGGTTCAATCAAGGACCGAGTAGCTCTAAGATGTATCACAGAGGCAGAAAATAATGGTACTTTAAAACCTGGTGGAACTGTTATTGAAGTTTCTTCTGGAAATACAGGTGTAAGCCTCGCTTGGGTATGTGCTATTAAAGGTATGTATCACTTCTCGCTATTTATATGATCTACACCAAAAATAACTACTCATTAACGTCGTAAATTGTTGTAATTTGGAACGAAAACTTCGATATGATGAGCCCCTTTGACTCTTCTAGATTATTTGGTCGAGTTTTATAAACTTTGCTTTCAAATATTCATGTAAAAAAGTCTAATGGAGTAATATCTGCAGATCTTGATGGCCATTCGATTATTCTCCCCTCCCTATCTAACAATCTTCAAAAACATTATTTGATTTGGTTTGTAGTGTATGCTGGAACCATAAATAATTTTTGTTCAATGGTAGATAACCCTAAAGAAATTCTATGGATTTTCACTTGGCCAAAATTGTACGTCTGGCGGTTTGTTTGTCTGTAGCCGTTTTTGAGCTATCGTGCCAACAGACAGACATACAGATATACGACAGACATACCGACGGAATGGGGAAACATGTTATTTGTAATCTAGGGATCCTAAAACGTATAAATCTGAAATAATCTCGGAAGGTGACTTTTTCACGATTACAATACTTCCCTTTTATAGAGGGAGGTAAAAAGTACCTTTTATATGATCTCTGTTACTTTGTTTCATGAAGATTTCGCAGAATTCGATTCTTCGATCAAAATATTTTTTTAACAGCTCGTACTTTGTACGGATGCCACTTTTTTCCTTTTCTTTATATGGATTCTCATGAAACCCTAGTACCACGCCAAATTTGCTGGCTTTTGAAATTGATTTCTTACTAATTTTAAAAAGATATTGTAACATGGCCTGTTTGTCGAAACTTTTTCTCAATTTTACTAAATGTTGATTAAGAAACGTAATTTAAACGTATTAAAATTTCGATTCATTCGGTTTCTGTAACCTTGATCACTAGATAACACTGATTTAAATATTTATACACAATAATATCAGACGTTTTACTGATAACTGATAACATAACACATCAATTAATTTCATATTAGAATCTTTTATCAATAAAAATAAGTAAATACCCCGATGTTTTATTATCATTGGCGGGCCCTTAGCATAATTTAGTATAATATTTTTTTAAATATCAGAATATACCTAATCATACAAGATTATTCAGCATTTTTGTCATAATCTAATTTGTCACAAATTTCAAATCTGGATTTCTGTTCAATATTAGTTATAAGCACATTTTACGCACTTCGATTTCATAGCACTATCTCTGCTTAATCTCCATCATTTTACTCGGACATTCGAAACTGCATCCCGAATCGATCAGGTAGAATTTGTAACAACGAAACTGATTCCCGGGTACAACGAAACTTCGTCCGCTTTGCAAATTTCATTACTACTAAAATTTTACGAAAATTTAACCAGTGTTGTCAAATGTAATTTTTGAAAGTACAAACATAAAAGATACTTTATTGAACCCTTACCAGAAAAATGTTAGAAAATGGGACATGCATATAACAGAATGATTGAAAGATATATTTTTATATACTGGTTATTCCAGTAATAATTAATATAGTAATAACTAATATAGTAATAATTGTTGTTTTGTGATGAGATTATTTGGATAAAACTAACTTAAATTAACAAATGGACTTTTAATTAGCTTTAGTTTCAGGTATAAACGGATTATCTATGGGGTGGTATTTTAAAAACGCCAAGGGAAGACCAGTATACTATTGCCAAATATTATTAATTTTAGTTCGTCTTTGTCTTTGTGTTGGTGTTTTTGGGCAGTTTTTAATAATGGAAGCAACATTTTGTTTAAGTGAGCAAGGCATGTCATTATTGGTAATTCATGGTTATGCATTCAGTTTTCAAAAAAAATGTTGGCCAATAAAACAGTAAACTGATGGCAATGCAGTAAGCAAACATGTAAAGCGTTTGTGAAAACCGAAGGATCTGACGATACCAGTCCTGAATTTGTCAATAGGCCATATAGGTCGCGGCCTAGGGGCGGCAGATTTCAGACGACGCTCAATCGATTTCAGAGGATAAAAGTCAAACAATTTCATTGGTTTTCTCATGGTTTTTTCTATTAATACATTAAATCCCTATAGAAACTCATTCCTATTGAAAATTATCAATCCTAGGTACCTAATGTTATTGTCCCTGTTTTATCTATATTACGACGATTTGGTTCAAGAATGTGTGCATTTTCACAGTCACATTTCCTCTAATAAAAGTGCAGAGTGTGCAGCCTGGATAAAACTCACTACTAAGTCTCTCAACGTTTTTGAGGAATCAATCTCTGTCTAATGTTTACCCTAACTTGGATATAGCTCTTAGTGCAGGGCATAGTGGCGTATTCGTTTGCAAAATTGTTTTAATTCGTAATTTTTTTTTTAAATGTCCGAAAGGCTTGCCTAATTATAAAAGTGTAAGATGACACTCTGTATTTGTTGATGTTATTGTTTAAACAACGAAAAATTAATTAAGGCAAAAAAATGCATTTTTTGCAATGAATTCATTTTTTTTTATATTCTTTAGGATATTTCGAATAAAAAAAATCCTTACGCTCATTATCCTTTAATTGTTATGAATTTTTTAAAATCCAAAATTGACGAAAATTCTAATTTTCTTGAATTAAATAATATACCTTAAAATTTAAAATGCTATAATTTTAAATTTTTTACCGAATATTCAAACTATAATAAACAAAATAACATAAATAAATTTTCAAAATTTTGTTTGTTGTTATGTTTTTTTTACGTTATAACAATATGCTTCCTACGCGCGTGTACTTTTAGAGAGAAGTACTTCTATCTCACTTCCAACTCAATGTATAAGATGGGTAAGAGAAAGCCCGATGACGCGCTAAATCAATTTTTTGCTGATTTTCAGAGGTAATAAGTTTAAAATTATTATTAACATTTTTCATAACACTCATCATGTGATTTTTTTTTACTTTTTTAGATACTTTTGATAACTTTTTTATTTATTAAAGTTAACAGAAACATTTATTTTTATTCATGAAAAAATTATTGTCAGATACTGCCTGAGAAGTAAAATCTTCTTCAACCTTTTTTTTTTTCAATACGATAAAAAGGCCAAATGCACTTGTCGTGATCCTTGAAAAATTTCTACCTGTTACAATAAACATAGTAGGCTTACTGGGGTTATAAAATTTTATGATTTCAAAAATATCCAAGCCCTTCTCCACTTAACAAAAATAAGGAAAACATTTTTTTCTAATATTAAGAGTAAGTAGGTAGGTACTATAAATATGAAATTTTTTTTATGACTTTCAATCTTTTGCACTATGAATACAAATAGGTAAAGGGACTTATTTTGTATTTTGAAAAAATTGTACGTTTAACTCTTCTTCTATTTTTTTTCCTGTCATAAACAATTTTTACAACCTTCCAAATAGAAAATTCAACCCTACCTTAGAATTTTTGGCTCGTTTTGAAAATTATTTTTCAGTTGTTAATCAGTCTTGCTCGATTCTACATCTACTGGTTTACTTTGCAGTCGTGTAATTTTCTGAATAATAATGTCGTTCTCTTTAATTTCAAAAAAAATTATATTATCTGACGACAAAAAGTGTTTATTTTGTGATAATGGCGAGGCGTTAGTGAAGTGTCCGAAACCTGTTACATATTTAAAATTAAAAAATGCAACTCTTCATCGAAACGATAACGTGACTGTGCGATTTAATTTGTTGTTTAATGAAAATACTAGGAAACAATCTTTTTCGTGGCATCGTGGCGCGTAGGAAGCATATTGTTATAACGTAAAAAAAACAACAACAAACAAAATTTCGAAAATTTATTTAGGTAAATTTGTTTATTATAGTTTGAATATTCGGTAAAAAATTTAAAAGTATAGCATTTTAAATTTTAAGGTATATTATTTAATTCAAGAAAATTAGAATTTTCGTCAATTTTGGATTTTAAAAAATTCATAACAATTAAATGGTGGAAGATACGATTATGGGCGTAAGGACTTTTTTTCGAAATATCCTAAAGAATATAAAAAAAATTAATTCATTGCAAAAAATGCATTTTTTCTGGCTTAATTAACAAACAATAACATCAACAAATATCGAGTGTCATCTTACACTTTTATAATTAGGCAAGCCTTCCGGATATTTAAAAAAAAATAACGAATTAAAACAATTTTGCAAACGAATGCGCCACTATGCGCTGCACTAAGAGCTATATCCAAGTTAGGGTAAACATTAGACAGAGATTGATTCCTCAAAAACGTTGAGAGACTTAGTAGTGAGTTTGATCCAGGCTGCACACTCTGCACTTTTATTAGAGGAAATGTGACTGTGAAAATGCACACATTCTTGAACCAAACGAATGCGCCAGTATGCTCTGGTCTATCTACGTATCGCACTTTTTACTCCGGCTACAAATTATTGTTTAAACGCGTGAAAAATTATCAAAGGTCTTCATTGTCTCAAGTCCCGTAAAAAATTGTAATTCTTGTTTCTTTTTTACGCTCTTTCTTAATGACTAAGTTATTAGTTTATTTAACTGTATTGGCTTCCTTACTACAAATGGAAAATTATTATTTTAAAAAGGTTCATGGGGCGGTGAAAATAAAGTGGCATACACTTATAAAAAATATAAATCCGGAACTGGACGATACAATAGTGCAATCAGTTTTGGATCACAATCATGAAAAGTTATCCGATGAAATTGTTAACAGACATCTCGTGAGTAATTCAGTTAAGCATAAAGCTGTGGAGGACTATTGTAAAAAACTCTTAAAACTCATTAGAGACGGAATTAAAAATTCTGTGAGACCTTAACCACAAAGGATATTGTAAAATTGATGCAAAATATATACAATGCTAGATTTTCTCTTCTTTTTAAAAATCCTAAAAATATTTCCGAATTTTATATGGCAATTGAGTCGTCTCCTATTTTAACCAATCAGAAAGAAAACTTCTTGCTTAAAAATGACAAAGAAAATAATATTGTCATATTTTCGTGTTTATCAAATCTTAAATTTCTGTCATCTGTTTCTTGTTGGTATGTTGATGGTACATTTGAATATTGTCCCCGTTTTTTCACTCAGTTGTTTACAATTCACATTCCATTAGTTTTTTTGTCTTCTTCCTAATAAAACATTCTTATCATACAATCTTGTTTTTAAGTATATAATAGAGTAGTGTGTCAAACTTAACCACCCTGTTTCGCCAAAAATGATAGCAGCAGATCTAGAGGTTGTTATTCATAAAATCATCTACAAGTCGTTCCCAGAAGCAAGTCTACGAGGTTGTTGCTTTCACTTAGGGCAGTCATGGTACCGAAAAATTCAGGAATTAGGCATAGCTACAGAGTACCAAAAAAAAGGGAGAGTAAAACGGAAATATCAAAGTTTTTAACATTTGTTTTTAGATTACCATTTCTTACCTTTTGGGGATGCAGTTTCGTAAAAGCCATTTTACTTACCCAACAGATTTGACCCTTTTAAGTCTACGTACTTTGCATTAGGTCCCGATTGTCGAAAATTTGAAGTAATTCAATGTTTGTGTTTGTGGGGCCTCACCTTATGTCCCTTGACAATTTTCTTATTTTTTTTTTTTGAATTAATTTAGCTTGGAGATCTCGGTGCAGGTATTTATTAAGAACATTCTATGGAACATTAACTATGTTTCTGAGAATTTGGTTTTAAATTATTTCTTTACTTTTTCTGGTACACCCCATAATTGTGTACCAGATAACCATACTAGCTTTAGAACTTTGTTTTAAGTGGAATAGGAAGAGTACCTTCCTGTCAACAAATATAAAAATGAATTTCTTAATTTACTTAGCATATATTTAAAAAATCCATTAGAAGAGTTTTGGTTTAAAATCCATTATCAAGAGTGGCTAGAAATCAATCCAAAAATAAAATGAGTTAAAGATGGTAATGTAATAAGTTAAGAAAAGATTTAAAATAAGTTAGCGTCAAATTTTTAAAAAACATATACACAACCAAAGAAACGTAAGACATTAAATAGAATTATTGAAATACGTTTTTAAAAAAAAAATTGTTGTAAACGACATCTATGAAATAAAAGTAATTTAAATCCAAAAAAGGTTTTTATACAAAAATTGCCTATAATAGACGCTGCTTCTCGAAAGTGGGCGATAATAGTCTTAGGGGGCGTCCATTAATTACGTGAGGTATTTTTGAGGATTTTTTGACCCCCTCTTCCCCCCTGGTGAGATTTTGTAAGATTTTCCTCAACTCCCTCCCCCCTCCCCTAATCTCTCGTGAGATTTTTCAAAATTTGTGTTTTGGGTGTAAATGCGTTGGATTATTAAAAAAACAAACACAATATGTTTTATTACTTTTATTTAAGACTAAAAATTTCTAGAAACATTCTTTACTTTAATTTAATTTTCACGCAATTTTACACCGTTTTCTACTAGAAAAACAATACGTCAGATTTACAAAGACCCCCCTCTCCCTCAAGTGAGATTTGGAAAGATTTAGCTTGATCCCCTCCCCCCCTTAAACACCTCACGTAATTAATGGACGCCCCCTTATTGACAAACAAAAAATAATATTGTTAATTTCCATTTTGGCTATTTCGATGTTTTCTTACTCTTGTAAATATTGTGTAGCATTTGAAAATTATAAGGTACCTTAAAATCGTAGCCAATTTCCTTAAACGCATACCAAAAGTAGAGTTAATATTCTCTGTTACCGACTTTTTAGAATATAAATGTTTTTTTATTCTAATGGAAAACTACATGCAAACTATTCAACAATTATTTTATTATCATAAGAGGTACATGGCAATAGATATACGTCACTTTTGTCAAGAATATTAATCGATTCTTTTGGCATGGAAAAAATACTTTTACTAATAAAATTAGCTTTCAAATAAAGTATCACACTTTTAAATCCTTTTTATTCCATTAAAGGGTGCTAAAGAGAGTGCTGCAATGAACAATCATATTACTTTTTCATTCATTTGATATATTCTGTAATTTCCCTATTTAAATTATAATGGGTAGTGTGATGGAGGGGAAGGGAATGACATGTGATAGGAAGATGTCCCACTTAGAATAAAAATCTGTCTTGAGTATTTTCTTTTTAATTAGGATAAATTGCCATTGGGAAGTTTTTAAAGATAATTTTGTATATTTAATTGGCTGAGTTAAATCAATAAAAGTTCCTAAATTAGATAAAAAATAATTTTTTTCTACACCCACATGGATAATCTAAGCACATGCTACAAAACGAAAAAGTAAGCTAATATATATCTCATATCTACCTAGTAAGACCACTGCACGGATATGAAATCCACCAATCATAGTTCATATTTGATCCCCAGGTTATAATTTTTTTTCTATACCCACATGAATATTAACTATTCTACACACATACTACAATAACAAAAACTAGGCCATTGCGTTCAACTAAACGAATATATTACGTATCCATTATATATAGTTATTGAAGTTAAGAGTTTTGTTTTCTTTTTTCTACTATAGCATGTTTAACCAAGTCATAATTTTTTTAAGGTTATCATAGTATCATAGTAATGCCCGATAAATTTTCGAAAGAAAAAGAAAATATTATAAGATCTATGGGGGGTGACGTGGTACGAGTTTCTATGGCAGAAAAAAAATATTCCCCTAATGGAATGTTTGGAATGGCTCATGTATTACATAAAAATACTCCGAATTCTATTATCATAGATCAGGTAAGTTGATTTAATGTTTGAATATAAATAATAGCACTAAAACTATTCTTGTGAACCATTAATTTTGTTCTGAAACAATCTTAATCTAAATATTTATCTTCATTAAATTGTTCTAATTGCAATATACATACAAGTCACTCGCACTCTTCTTTCACACATACTGCATAAACAGACTACACGAGATCAAATGGCTTGATCCTCTTTATTCGTCGGACATGATCCTGATTGTTCAGCAGCTAAAAGGCTTTGGCATTGTTATGTAGGTAAAGTTTGGTTTCTTGCTTGCCAGCAGACCTTTTGATTTCTTACCAAGTAGTGCAATATTTTGTTCTTAGAGATAAATAATCTTAATTCATTGAGCCTATATCTCTATTGATTGATCCATCTAACTAAACTAGAGAATTGATAGTAGTTTGGAGCTTTCATAATAATCTTTCTTGGTCCTGGTTAACTCCAATGAGCGTTGGTAAGTCACTAGTGTAGTAGAGTAAGTATAAAATGGATCTAAGAAGACTTACTTGAGGCAGATTATAAAAGTAGAAGACGGATTACCCACCATAATCATGAATCATTTGGGATATCCTGTGTTCACATTATCCTAAAACTACTACTTCGTAAAAATATAGTATTTTTTATTTTTAAATAGAACACAAGAACACGATGTGATTGATTTTTATTAATGTATGCTTATAACAATGACGTGATGCAATGCTCAAGCGTTGTCAAAAAATGTGTTTGATTATTTTATTCTTTTATTAGGTTGTGAATGTTTTTTGGCATGAACACTCATTAGTGCGTTTGCTAGCAAATTATCAAATCAGCCAAATGCGCTACGTGAGAAACATTCATAAAGGTATACAAACGTGTTTATATTTTGTGTTAATTTTTACCTGTAATTATCTAGAACATTCTCAGAATATGAGGTAGCATGCTGAGTATATACTTTTTAGAATATATTTTTAAAGCACGTACACAATATATACTTTCTAAAATGTATTCTAGGCATGTTCTAAGAACATTCTCAGAATATGAGGTAGCATGCTGAGTATATACTTTTTAGAATATATTTTTAAAGCACGTACACAATATATACTTTATAAAATGTATTCTAGGCATGTTCTAAGAACATTCTAAACAGGACATATCAAAAAGAACATAAACAAAACGTTCTTATCACATGTGAATACCTGCCATACTTCTGAAAAAATCTATATCTTTTATATCCGTGACAGTCTTAGTGGAAAGTAAAGATTGATCTCACCACACATTTGTCTACCTGGTAAATGATGTTGGAAATTAAAGTTTATGATTATTTATGGTTTTAAATAGCACATGTCGCCCTGAGGAAAAGTGAGATAAAATGTCCACTACTCAAACAATAATTTAATCTATAAAAAAAGTAAATAACGTAATGATGAAAATGTCAAAAAAATTCTACTAATAAGAGTCTTATTAGTGTTTTAACTAATTTAATGTTTTAGTTTTCAAATCCATCTAATCCAATCATGCATTATGATACAACTGCCGAGGAAATTTTCGATCAGTGTGATGGCAAAATTGATATGATGGTAAGTACTTATCATAAAATAGAAACTACCATTTTATACATAGTGATATATAATAAATTAGGGAATTTTTGGGTTTTCCGGCAAAATTATAAACAGAGTGTACTCTTTTAAAGTTTTTATTTAAATCTTTTATTATTAAACGGGTAAAAATGATTTTTTATTAATGAACTTTATTAATTATTAGGGTATTCCTGTGTATAAAAACCTTAGATGTAGACCAAAAGTTAAATCGACTGATTTTCGAATATACAGGGTGTTCTATTAGTGCGTAATTGCTCAATATTTCAATTTGTGTTATAGACACGTAAAAAAGTTTAAAATAAAAGTTATATGGATATAAAAAATACATATTTTAAAAATATTTTTGGATATATAGGGTGTTGCTTTTTTGTCTGGCAAATAAAAATGTATTTTTTTTTAAATAGAACACTCTGTATTTTATTTTACTTTTTTAAGGGTTTGGTAATAATTTATTGAAGCTTAGAATGTTTTTAAAAATATTACAGTGTTGTCAAGCAATTAATTTTGTTTTTGAAAATAGAGAATAATGCAAACCTCAAATTTAGGTAGGTACAATTATTTAATATACAGACTAACAAGATACTAAGCTAACGAATAGTGGTGATAGAACTGGTTTATTTTATACAAAATGTTTTAAAAGATATCTTAAATATGGCTAATTTTAAGTTCAATTTACTTAATTTTTCAAATGTAACAACCTGTATATTATTTTAGCATAAAATTCCTTATACATTTAAATATACAACGATACCAATACGTAAGCCATAACACATATACAGGGTGTCCCATCAGAACGTAATTCATCGACAGCTGTTTTATTATTAGAAATACGAAGAAATTTTTAATATGTTCTAGGACCATATTTAACAATTATTCTTAAATATACAGGGTAGTCCATAAACGAGGTGCTGATTAAAATTACACCTTTTTAAAATAAAATACACGGTGTTCTATTTAAAAAGATGCATTTTTATTTGCCAGGCAAAAATGCAACACCCTGTATATTCAAAAATATTTTTAAAATATGTATTTTTTAAATCCATATAACTTTTATTTAAAACTTTTTTGCATATCTATAACACAAATTGAAATATTGAACAATTACGTACTAATGGGACACCCTCTATACTATATAAAAATAAAATTTTCAGCTTAATTAAAGATAAATATCTAACTTTGGTCGTCTTACTATTGAAAAATGATAAATTTATTATTTTAAATAAAAACCAATCATTTTTAACAACCTCATTTTATTTAGATGCCGTTTGAACCTTAATTTTAAACAAATAAGACGACCTAAGTTTAAGCTTTACCTGCGATATAGTTTACTTCGGATATGAAAATATTGGATATTTTCCCATTTGAAATTTTTAAGTAATTTTCTTTGGAATGCCATCTCAAAATGTATAAAACTTCTATTTTGATCCAAAAATGGCTTTTATAATAATTATCAGAATTAAATGAAATTTAGAAGGGTGCTACAATGACATGTTTGCTATCTGATAAGCGTATTGTCGAATATCAAGAACTCCCGGACATACCGGAAGTGACCATCATAGGCGCCGGAACTCAAAAATTGCTTTGGGTGCCCTGCCTCTATGCGGGAAATGGGGGCTCCCTCCCCCTTCACACCCCACTTAGGGTCACCACCAATTTTTTTAAAGCACTATGGATGCCATTTTAAAGCATTAATTTTATTTTATAAACATTTTCTTGAAAAAAAAAAAAGAGTCGAATTGCTGGAGTTTTGAAGATTAACGCAGAAGACGGGAGTATTAACAATTAGTAGATCGGAGACTTCCCCCTAAATCGGGATATCTGGCAACCCTATATGATCGGTGCAGCCACCACTGGTATTCAGTGGTGTTACGGTGATAGAGTACCAATGAAATAATTAGAAACACAATTTAAACAATTATTAACTATCATGAATTTAGGAGATTTTTGATGATTTATTAATACACATATTGTCACGTTCAGTGTGTTTTTTTATAAAAAAATGGGTTAAATAATAAAATATATGGATTCGGGCCTCAAACACGTAAACACTATTTAGCCTTAAACTTAAGGGCTGAAGGAAACACAGTGTTCTCAAAACGAATATAATGATATAAATATTTAGAATAATTATACAGAACTATGTCACAACTGGATATACACAAATATGGGCTAAAACTATAATAAATATCTTAAAAAACAAATTAACTTACCAACACCAATTTTGGGGCACATGTCACAACTTTTGACTCAAGTCAATACCGCGATTCAAAATTAAAATACAAAAAAAAGACTTTTAGTTTAAACTATAGAGATCCTGAGCTGGAGCTGCTACTGGGAATCTCCTACAAGGGGAGCCTCCTATGGGGAGAATAGTTCCCTGTGGATATACACAGCGTGGCGATTTAAAAACGAAACAGCCAATTTAGGACACCCCAGATCATTTATGAAAAAACGCTGGGACCCGTCAATTTTTAATTTTAAGGGGAAACATTTGTTGGCCAGTTTCACCCACTGAACGGAAACCGTCTAGCAGTGGTGAAACTTATCCCTAAAAACTTAAATGAAAAGGGGTCAATTGATATTTTATTTTGAAAGTATTTTTACCTAGATTATAACCCTAGAGTTTTAAATCGCTACTGTCTTTCTAGCCATGTTCTTTTAATGATTTTTATTTTCTTTAAATGCTTACCATTTACTCGAGTAAATGCTGACCCTAAGCCTCCATGCAATAATAGAGGTTTTGTTTAAAACGCTCCCGAACATTTTGAAGCATCTGTGGGGTGATTTGATGACATTCATCAATTATCCGTTGTCGCAGAATTTCCAGTAATGTTGGCTGGGTGGCATAAATTTTAGTTTTTAAGTGGTCCCATAAAAAACTAACGGGGTCATATCCGGAGACCGTGTGGGCCACTTAATACTTCCTCTTCTTTCGATCCATTCTGGAAATGTTTGATCCAAATACTGACGAACAGTCAGTGCAAAATGAGGTAAGTTGTGACGACTTACTGCACCGTTTAGGAAAAAAGTGTATTCGTTAGAAACACACCTTGAAAAAAAATTGCTGATCATTTTTTGCCCGTTCAGTCATATTTTCACAAAATTGTAATCGCCTATCACAATCGTCTTCGTTAAGTTCTTGTACCAGATGTATTTTGTAGAGATGAAACTTATTTTTTTTGTCACTATCTTCTGAATGCTACTTCTCTTAATACCAGATGTTATCGCCAACTGTCTTGAACACAATGTGGGTTCTTGAACAACATACCCTAAAATCGTCATCTCTGTAGCTTCATTTACGTTTTTTGTTAGCTACTGACCCCGTTTCCCAAAATTTTTGGACTAACTGCAAAATATACTTTCGATGGACTTGTCGACTTTGATGTTGATTTTTAAACAGTTGGGCAGTTCTATTAACATATTCATTGTTCACAAAAAAGTGAAATTATTTACACCTTCTCAACAATTGAGTAAAGCATTATCACTGATATACTACTTTTATATCGACTCTACAACAAAATAAACTAAACCTTACTACTTTACGGCGACCAAAGCATGTCATCTGAAGCTTTATTATTTGCATTAGCATTAGGATTATTGCAACGTGCAATGTCACAGCTCACAACTCTGACTGCCAATCAAACACTGATGCCGAATAGAGGCATCCTGTCACTCAACCAACTTGAGCCACGACAGCTTCTATATTTAACTTATTATCAATTCTTATCTATGTTGTGCTATGGGTGCTCCGCACTCAGTTTAAAACTGCTCTGGGTGCTTGCGCACCCCGAGCCCCGGGGATTCGGCGCCTATGGTGACCATGAATTTTGTTATTTCAAAAAGGACACACTATATATTTCAGCAATTCTGAATTCTCTAATAAGTTCTACACATTTTTCATGTAATATGTCCTATACCTATCTCTAACTGTTTTTGATAATTTGGAGGTTACACTTATTAGGTGTCTTGTCTGAAAATGAAAATAGTACAATTTAATAAATTAAAATAGAAATTAATTGAAGACTTGAAGTGCCTTCTTTCTGTCTGAAGAAAAGCCTGAAACTTCTTCAGTAGTTTGCTCGTTATACAATGTATTTACCCAGACAGCACAAATACGTCTTATGGATGTTCTAAAAACGTCCTGCTTGGACATTCAGGACATCCTTACAACGTTCATTTCACAAACGTGGACGTTTGATGGACGTCTTTGGAACATCCATTGTTAATAATCAGGATGTCTTAAGAATGTCCATTTAAGAACATTCCATGGACATTTTCAAGAGCTCAAATGGGGAATAACAGGATGTTTAAGAAAATTAGTGAAAATAATGAATAATTTAAAAAAAAATTATTTGGTAGAAAATAACCTATGAATTGTAAAATTATTAAAACTTTTTCGTCAAATTTATCCCGTCTCTCCTCTACTTTGCTCTTTTCAACCATGATTGACAGCAGTTTTTTTTCTTGATTTGGCCATATTTGCCTTCTCAGCTGAACCTGAAAATAATTTAATCGCTTATTTAATATGAAAATCCAATCTGTTTGTTTAAGTTTGCCCTGCTAGACATTATGAATTCACTAACCTTTTAGCTTTGTAGTATTCACTGGAAAACACGTCTACTTTGCTCTTTTCAACCATGCCTGGATTGACAGCAGTCACTTTTTTTCTTGATTTGGCCATATTTGCCTTCTCAGCTGAACCTGAAAATAATTTATTCGCTTATTCAAAATGAAAGGCAGATCAATATTAAAATTCAATTTGTTTCTTTAAGTTTGCCCTGCTAAACATTATAAATTCACTAACCTTTTAACTTTGTACTATTCACTGGAAAACTTCCACCTTTCTCACAGATAAAAATGGTACAAACTGAAAAAAATTAATACTAATCAACCACAAACTCACAGAGTCAAATCACAGTCAAATGGTGGAATTATAGAACTTGCACTCGTATAATATGTATATACCATCGAATCATGAACATTGAACACTATGTTTTTTTCTTTTTTTTTTTTTAATAAAACCTGAGCCCTGAAAATATTTCAGTGCTTGAATTTAAATTAATAAAAATAAAAAATAAAATGTCACTTGTCAACAATGTCCCTTTCTTGCAATGACCCTCTTCGTTCTGTCTATTTGGCCTTCATTCAATTGGGTATTGGGGCAATACCATCTTTAATAATTATTTATATTATCTCATTATATATGTTGTTGTTTATATACTATAACCAAATAATACAATCCGAATGTGAATCCATGGAAATATAGTAAAGCACGTAGAATTGACGTTCTGCGGATATCTATTTCTTGACGTCCCGAAGATTTACTAAACTGGACATACTTAAAACGTCCAGAATTGGTCATGGATGTACATACGTTAAATAGACTATGCTATTTCGGTATGTACCTATGTTTTGTGCTACCCATCTAGATATATCTAGTTGGCTTTGTTTTGTCAAACTTTCAGTGTCATTTTCATCTCTATTGATAGCAAATTAATTATTTTTGGTGGTAACGACTCAAAGTACAATGCCTTTTACTTTCACATCCAATGAATGTGTTGATATGTTACTTTTATACGGTGAGTGTCAAAAAAATGCAAGAAGAGTGTATCAACAATGGTTTCTCGATCGTAGGACACCTGCAGCATATACTTTTCCCTTGATTGAGTCAAAAATACGAACCGATTCTTTTCCGAATTCTCTAAAACATTTCCATTATGACACAACTGCAAGAAATAAAGAAATTTCAATAACGTATTGGCTTATGCAAAAGTTTCGGTTAGAGAAATTTCTCTGGAAATGGGAATTAACAAAAGTACTGTACATAGGATCCTTAAATCAGAAAAATAATATCCCTATAAAATATTTCTTGTTCAAGCACTTCGTACCACCGACTACAAGCAAAGGTTGCAATTTATATATCTTGTGCAAGTTATCCTTTTTGAGGATCCTACGTTTTTGGAGAAAATCTTATGGGGTGATGAATCAAGGTTTCACAACAATAGAATGGTAAATCGCCACAATTATCACTACTGGTCAGTAGAAAATCCACAATGGGTCAGAGAAATTCGTTTTCAAACAGTGTGGGGCATCAATGTTTGGTGCGGGCTATTTAACAGGTGTCTAAGAGAGAAATCTCACTAGCGCGATACGTCGCGCGCGACTTGTCGCTAGGCATCGCGCGCAGCAAGAGTGCAGATGTATTTAAATGACCCAAAGCCCATTATCTTGTCCCTTAATCGCACGCGGCTAAAAAATGGGAACGACAAGACCGCGATTATCTAGTCGCACGCGGCCAGTGGTACTATGGATACATACGGAGTATCACTTATTACAGCCGTTCAGTCGTGTGCGGCACGTCGATAGAGTTGAAGTGTTCCTGTTGGTTGTCCTACAGTTCCAAAATGACCTCCGATGATGTCGATGATTTAAATGCATTTATATATATAGTGTGTTGCATGACGTATCTACATACTTAAATACCATATTCCTGACCTCATTTCAAGCAGAAAATGTTCCATAAAGAAATATCCAAATCCGAACTACAATCATTCAAAGATCAGAAGAAATATTAACGTAGTATGTCAAGTTTTTAACATTTTTAATTTAATTAAATTTAACTGGACGTTCTATAAATAAAGGATGAATTCAGTAGCTACTTCACTTCCGATAACGAACATATTCCGCTAATACTTCTTCCATCTCTATTTTGTAATTGAACGTCAGTGTCACTGCTTGTCGTTGTAGGTTTTGGTATACGAGTTAGACATCTCGCTATAATAAAAACATTTATTTAAACCTCAAAAAAAGTATATGAAAATGTATTGACAGTCTTCTTCGTCAGTACTTGTCGTCGTCTTGTTTATTATTATTTTTTTATTTATTTTTTCGTTTCCATAAAAACTCCATGGCCACGGCCGTCAAGGCTCGACCAATGAGGGCACACCTCAAAAGTCGTCGAGCCGATATATCTATCCAAGACTTAATAACGTTATGACCATGACATCAGTTACGACATCGACGCTTGACCAACCTCAAATACAAACGACTTAAATTTTTTAAAATGTAATGACAAATATGTCAAAACTAAAAAAGGTAAGGTCATGTGGGGAACAAGATGTCGCCATAGTCGTCTGTTTAAAATCGTATTTTAAAAACCGCGTGTGGCAGGTCGCGAGAGTGGGCTTTCTGCCTAATAGGTCCCTATTTTTTTGATGGCACGTTTAATAGGGTAAGGTATTTACATTTTCTTTAAAACTACCTTCCTCGGCTGCTAGAAGACATTCCGCTTGGCGACCGCACAACCATGTTCTGGCAACAGGACGGTGCATCATCACACGATAATATAATTATTGTCGTACATTATTTAAATATGAGATTTCCCAATAAATGGATTGGAAACAAGGTGGCCGACGCGTTCCCTGATTTGACCCCTTTAGTTTTTTTTATGGGGTCATCTCAAAAACATGGTCTATACAATCCAACCAACTGATTTAAATAAGAGGGAGCATGCCATCTCGAGATGATAAGAGCATCGTGTACAAGGGAACTCATAAAACGATTTCAATGTTGAAGAGGACGGAAGACAGTTTATTATAATAATTATGTATTTATTCTCTTTTTATAACAATCAATAAACTGTACTAGTTTTACATTTTATCTTCGAACAAGAATCATAAGTTGGTGTAACCCCAAATTATTAGAAACGGTTAGAGATAGGTATAGGACATATTACATGAAAATTGTCTAAAACTGATTAGAGAATTCAGAACTGTTGAAATATATTTAAAATAATAAAATTTATTGCCACTTTCGGTATGACCGGAAGTTCAAGATATTGAAAAATATGCTTATCACATAGCCCACAAGTCATTAGAGTTTTGGTCTAAATTTCATTTAATTCTGATTATTATTATAAAAGTTACAGCCTGTCTAATGAAAGCTGGAATACCCGGTATTTCTCCTCTATATTAACACCTTATTATAGTGAAATCATGATTATCACACTATAACAAATGACGTCACAAAATAATTAAATCTATTAGAAAAAATTAATTATTTCAAGCTATCAAACAAAACAAAAATATTCGGATATTTAATTAATAACGATAAGGGCGGTGAATTCCTTTTTCTTTAATTTTCCTTTTAATTTTGACGTAGAAATTGAATGTTTATTTATTAATAACTTAATTATTATCGGTACATATAAAAATAATTGTTTATAATAAAATATGAATGAATAAATGAAAAAAGCGGATTTCCTAAATAAGGAATTGCAGTTAGTAATAATAAGTTATATTAATATCAAACGACTGTTATTTTATTTTAATTATTTATAAAATATTCAAGATACAAAAAGGACGTCAAAACAATTACTACATTTTGAAACCCCATTATTTGATTTAAGGTTTAGGTTATTTTTCAGTGACTTTGATAACATAATGTTAGGAAAAGGAAAGTTTTCGTTGGTTCATCCTATATATTTTCTGTAGGTTATGGGTTGTGGTACTGGAGGTACATTGGGTGGTATTAGCAGAAAGTTCCAGGAACTTTCTCCCCAAACAATATTTATAGGAGCCGATCCATACGGATCGACTTATGCCATACCAGACAGTCTTAACCAAAGTAAAGTAAAAATGTTCGAAATCGAAGGAATTGGATACAATGAACTGACACCCCCAGTATGCGATCGTTTTAAGGTACAAAAATGGTACAAATTTCATGACAAAGACTCTTTAAATATGTCAAGAAGGCTGATTAAAGAGGAAGGATTACTAGTAGGTAGGTACAACATTTTTACAATTTTTACAAATTCTTCAATTTAAACAATATACACGATGGATCACCGGTAACGCTTCGGTCAAAAGAGCCGAAACTATTTGATTTTTTTAAATTTGTTTTTACAACGAGAAAAGGCAACAATTTAAAAATAATTTTAATCATACAGGGTTCTCCAGGAGAGTGATACATATCAAAGTTTGGTTGTTTTTTTTTTAAATGGCACACTACATATTTTATTTAATATTCGAATTGCCCTCTCTTCACACAGGGTATTTTACAAGCTATAACAATTTTTCTACGAAAATCGTATTGATTTTAGTTACCTGTTTACTGAAAAAGAAACAATTGAAAACCAATTTTTGTGCGGTATAAGTTTTTCTAATGTAGTCAACATTTATGCCAACGTACTATTTTTTTAATTCACAACAAATATGTACAGAGGTGTCAAAACTTAAATATTTTTTGTAAAAAAATTCTAGCCAGTTTTTGAATATTATCTTTAGTCGTAATTAATAGAAGTATTTCAATTGTTACTTAAAAAATGCTTTGAAATGTGAGTTTGATCTTTACTGTCGTTCATTTTGCGGTACCCCTCTTTCGTAACTGTTTACCTAAATAGCTATTAAAGTTCAATTTCAATTTTTTTATGAAACTGATTTATTTTTTTATAGGTACCACAAGTGGTCTCTTGTTAGCATGTGCTTTGAAAGCTATAAAAGAGTTTAACATTGGAAAAGGAAAAAGAGTAGTAATCCTTTTACCAGATGGTACAAAGAACTATTTAAGCAAATTTGTACAAGATCAGTGGATGGAACAAAGAGGCTACATGCCTTGTAAAAATCCTGGAAATCTAGGGTAATTTGTTATAAAAAATATTTCCATTAATAAATAGTTTTAGATGGTATTGAACTAGCAGTAACTCTTTATATAAAATACTTAGAGAGTAATGGCCATAATTATTAATATCAACTGAATAATAACGTGTGATCCTAAAGTTTTCGAAAAATAAAGGCTGAAATTAATTTAAATTTTTTAAATTAATAATAAATATAACAATAAATAATTAATAATTAAATTAATGAAAATGGACCATTAAATTCAATGGCCGTCAATTTTTCTCTGAGTTGTATAATCATCCTCTAGACAACAGGGTCGACCTCTCGATACTTTTGAAAAATGCAACTTTATATTTGATCCACATTTGCAGCTTCCCATCCCTTATGTTATGTTGCGATCTAAAAGATCTAGTGTGTCACCTTCTGTCGCTAATGCAGCCAGGAAATGTCTCAATGCCTATAACGACCCTTCCAATCATATCTTCTCAAGGAAGTGCACGATTTGGAGTGGCTTCAAGTTAGGTAAATATCCCTCTTGCATTTGATGTGCTCCTAGTGCTACATATTCAGTTAGAATGTGAATTGAAGTTTATTCCTCCTCACAGAATCTGCACTCACTATCTTCTACTGCTCCCAGTTTACTAATGTGTCCTTTTAGTCGGCAATGCCCAGTAAGGATCCCTAGACTCTGTAAATTCTTTTACGAATATCCTCACAAGACTTTTATAGACAATTATAACTTTAGGATCATGCGTAAAAGATATTGATAGGATAGTGCCTTAAAATAATTACCTAGAACTAAAATATGTATATTAATCAGAAAATACATAATATTAAAAATAAAAATAATTTTAGGTGGTGGGATATAAAAGTTGCAGATTTGGACAACAAACCTGTCACAAGTATTAAAACCACTGAAACAATTGAGAATGTTTTGAGTATAATGACAAAAAATGCTGTCAATTATTTGCCAGTAATAGGAGAAAATGGGTAAGTGATTGTCATATTATAAAGTAGGTGAACATGATTTCCATAAAATTTCAAATGCATTACTTTTTATTTTAGTTCACATAATAATATTTCTCTTTATAATTCAAATAAAAAGTAATTTATTTGAAATTTTCTGGAAATCAATACAATATTTTCCTTGCGCTGTTTTGTATATCTTTTTTTTTATTTATTAGACTACCGCATCAACCAAGTAGGTTATTAGCGGTGGAGTGGGTTTACATGGTTTACAAATATTCGAGAATTTGAATGTCGTTTAAATATTTAACAATAGATTTTGTATCACAGTTTTCACCTAAAAGAGAGCACAATGAGTTTGGTAGATTGTTTTGTTGTCTTTCATTGTTATATTTTACACATTCCAATAGCAGATGCTTTACTGTAATAACAGTGTTGCATGTATCACAGTAAGGTTTATTTTCATTTTTTAATAGGTACTCGTAGTCGCGATATTAGCACTTGTGTTGAACGCGGGTATACTTTAATAGGCCAAGGTTTCACTGTTTTTTAAACTTCCCGTAACTTAGATGTTGATGTTTGCCATTCATTTTGCCATGCACTTAGAACTTTGGTTTTTACACACATTTTCACATCTTCATGTAAAGTTTCACTCACTATTTCAGCACTTTCACTACTTATTGCTTCTTTGGCACATCTGTCAGCTTCTTCATTACCCTGGATTCCAACGTGTAAAGGGGTCCATAAAAACACCACCTCAACTGTCTTCTTTTAATCGAACCAACTTTTCTTTTATTAGGCAGGCAAGTTTATGGTCGGAATATACTTTTTCAATGGTTTTGAGAGAACTCAGGGATTCTGTTATTATTAAAGCTTTTCTGGGATATATTGTCTGTGTATGGGTAAGGGCTTTCAAAAGAGCAAACATTTCTCCAGTATAAACACTAGTTAAGGCGGGGGTTTGTATTTTAATTTGGAATGTTGGGTTACAACTGCGGCTGCAACGCCGTCTGATGTTTTAGATGCATCTGTATAAACCTTGTAGTGATTAGAATGTTGATCTAATTTGGACATAAAGGAATGTTTTACTAAAGTGTCGATAAATGGGGCATGTATTAGCCATGGTGGGGTTTTTATATTACAGGTGAATATAGAGGGAAAATTAGGTTGCAGAATTTCTAGTTGTTTTCTAACTCTTAAAAAGGAGGGTGGCAGTTTTTTTTTTAGCAAGTATAACTGTTTAAATCTTTCTGAGTGGGTGTTTGCAAACGTAGGATGTTCTTTCTTATTTATCAACGAACTTGCATAAGTCAACGTCAAATATTCTCTTCTTCTAGTTAGCGATGGCTCCCCCAGCTGGACGTATAAGCTTTCAGACGGTGATGTGCGATAAGCCCCTGATATAATTCGCAACGCAGAGTTATGAACGACGTCAAGAGATATGTGAATATATTTTTTTATAGATGCGTAGACAATGGAGCCGAAGTCAATTTTAGATCGAATGAGACTTCTGTAAATAAGTAGAAGGGTTTTCTGGTCTGATCCCCAATTTCTGCTCGATAATAGTTTGAGTAAATTAATACCTTTTTGACAAACGACTATGAGATTTTTGATGTGACCATTCCAGTTTAGTTTGGTATCGAAAATCATACCTAGAAATTTTGTAGTCTTTACAAATTCCAGTTTTTTCCGTGTGTTTTTGTATCTGTTAAAAGCAGCTTTACTAGCTTTGATAGCCGCTTGACATTTGTCATTCCACCATGGTACAGGGTTTCGTTTTCCTATCATATATCTCTTTCCAGTAACCTCTTCTGCTGTGGAGTTTATAATGTTTATTAATTGTTTGACTATTTCATCAATTGTCCCTGATACTTCAATTAAGAACAAGTAGTGAGTCCAATTTACATTGTTGAGATTCCATTTGAGCAGTGGTGTTGTATTTTGAGAAAATTCACGGGTGACCGATATTATAATAGGAAAATGATCACTATCATATAGGTAGTTTGATACTTCCCATACTAAGTGAGGAAGAAGCTAGACATCACAAATAGTTAAATCTATGGCTGAAAATGAGCCATTATAAGAATTGAATCTAGTTTTTCTGCCATCATTTAGTAATGCTTAGCCTAGATCATTTATTAAACTTTCAATTTTATATCCTCTTGAATCAATTTTGTCCGACCCCCATAAAAAGTTGTGTCCGTTAAAATCGCCCAAGAGTAATTTTGGTGAGGGTATTTGAGATATTAGATTAGCTAAGTCTGTAATATCTAGGATAGTATCGCTTGCAATATAGACGTTACAAATGTTAAATTGGACGCTAGTATGGATACTTACTGCCACAGCTTCTAAAGTGGCATTTATATTGATTGGTGTTGATTTAGTGTTGTTATGAATATAAGTTGCTACGCCTCCCCAAAATCTGTTTTTAAAGTATACTGTGTAGTTTTTTAGTTTGTGAATATTTGAGTCTTTAAAGTGAGTCTCCTGTAAGCATAATATATTTGGTGTATATTTATTTATTAAAATTTGAAGCATTTCAAGGTGTAGATAGTAACCATTTAAATTCCATTGTAAGGTAGTCATTTTTAATAATATTCTTGTGAATTTATTGAGGAATCACTACTTGGTTCCAGTTCTAGAGGTCCTTCTGAGATGTATTGTTGTAGTCGCTTCCTTATTTTTGTGAGACGGGATTTTATTTTTCTGTCTTTTATGTTAAAATTAATTTTTATAATAGTACTAATTCTTCCAGATTTGATTCGTAGTTTCGGCAAATGCTAATAGGATCCGGAGATCCTCTGATATTTATCAGTAGGTCATGTAGTTGGTCGTAATTTATACATAGTTTATCTTTATTGGATTCCATATAAGGTTTAATAGATTTTAAGTCTTCATTTAGGTCTTCTTCTCCCTTCTTTTTCTTTGGTTGTTCAGGTGTTTTAAAATTTTGATAATTTTTTCTATTGTTGGACTTTCAATTTCGGAAGTATTACGTTTGTTTTGACTGGAGTTGGATGTACATTTATTTGATTCAGATAGTTGCGTCTGTTCGTTTTTGGAATTAAGTTCAATTGTATTGGTTTGAGTAGGGGAGGGTGTTGGGGTTTCTACTGCTGAAGTAATATTACAGTGGCTCATAGATTAATTTGTTGTAGGTACGGTAGATTCGTCACTGTTGTTTATTTCTTGATTTAGTTCGAGTGGTTGGTTATTTTGACGAGGCCTGTTTGAATAGGTTGGTGCTGGTTGTGTTTGGGGTGGATTTTGTGTGTTAAGTTGATTTAAACAATCTGATCCTTTGTGACCTGGTTGTTTACACTTAGCATACCTAGCCATCTGCACTTAAAAATATGCGATACGTTGTATTGTCATGTTGTATGTGAATGTTTTCAGGAATTGCATTAGTGGAAGGGGTTATATAAACTTGGCGACGGAAATTTAATATTTGTGGATAGTGAGGGTTATTTGCACCAATTCTTAAGAATGTTATTGGACAAACCTAGGTTTATACCAAGGTTCTGTAACGATGTAGTTAAAAGTTCATTTGGAATGGTTGGACATACATTAGATAATACAAGTCTTTCGGAAGGGCTATTTAATTTTCGAGCTTTGATGCATTCTTCGTAATTTCTCCATTATCTGTTAAAAATTTTTCAACGATGTTATGTGATGAGAGGTAGACACATATTCTATTATTCGATATTCGAGAAGCAAATAATATATTTCTAGGTTGAATATATGCTCCTAGTTGATAGAGGCACTCTTGCAAATTTACATTGTTCATGGATGGAAAAATAATTGCTTGCTCTTTTGTTGGGAGATTGAAAGTCTGATTATGATTTTGTTTGAGAGCTGTTGAGTAGGGCATGTTGGAGGTTGGATTCTCAGGAGAATCAATTTTATTGGTAGAATCCCCTGCTAGGGTTGGAAAGGTGGTATCATCCATTTTTCATTAAATGTCTCATTAGTATTTCTTAAGACGGCCCTTTTCAGAACAGATAAAAATTCTTATCTGCTGTTTGTAGCTAAGTGACTTTTCGATTTTGTATATAATTTGCTTTCTATATTGGTACAGTGCAAGTATTTACCTGCTTAAGATTTGATTTGTTTCACTTGTATTTAATAATCACTGATTAATGTATACTTTTAATATATTTTAACTGTTTACCCACGATATTTGTTAATAATTCTGGAACTGTTCAAACACCAACTGTTTACAATATTGATCAGGTCCGGACTCTCTTGTATATCTTGTTTTTCAAAAAATCAAACTATAAAACTTAAGAATAGTCCAAAAATAAAAATATAACATCACTAAATATTAGAATTTTTAAAAAACTAATGTGAACCGCAGCAGAATATTTTCTGTCGCCTCGATATTTCAATCTGTGACGACATATATCCGTCCCTAGCAACCGAACAAGGCCACCGTGTTGTCTACGAACCGTGGTTATCTGGAACTTTTTAAAGTTTTGTGATCTACCTTCATATCAATAGGCGATTCTTTATAAGGTTTAGTTACTCTGCTTTGGTTACATGTTACCAAAGCATCTAACGAGGCATTTATTTATAAGCTTACTAGAACATACTGTAATGAAAAGGAACAAAATCAGAACATCATAAAATTCCTAAATTTCAAATTTCATTTAGAAACCCCCAAACTCACATACTTTGATTTTCTCTTACTATACGGAGAATGGTCGCACTGCGCAGCTTTCTGAGTGCCTTTTAAAAGAAGATAGAAAACACCGCCATTTTGATGCCTTATTACGTGTTGCCTACATCTTGGCGCAATATTTTTAATGTTTTGCTTGCTGCTGTCAGTGTCAGTGAATATTATTTTTCGAGTCACAGTTTATTGCTCAAGAATCAGTTAGCTCACTCGGACCATTTGAATGTTCCAAAATAACATCCACTCCAGGGATACAAATTCAGCATGCGCAGAAGACTGCTGTTTTATTATAGGCGGTTGTCATATATTGTATTATCCGAGTTGCGCAGTGTATAAATTGGAACATTGAGATCAAAAGTGCCGACGCAGAGTGAGCGAACTGACTCTTTAGTTATAGACTGTGGGCGTGTCGGATCTCTCTCTTGCACCGTATAGTAATCAAAGTATGTGCCCAAACTTAAATTAAATTTGACATATGATATTTAATATTAAGGTTACCACAGTAACCACAATTGCAGACACTTACCATAATACTGTAACCAAGTATGTTGTAGTAAGCTTATAAAGAAAAGCCTAATATATTTATGCGTGCGATATGTCACTCTCACTGTAACTTATTTCGCTTTGTCACTTATTTGAAAAACTCATCGTAAAGTAAGAATGGAAAGAAGATTGATCTTACTAATTTAGCAGTAAGTAAGATGGAGAAAAATTCGGGGAAACCTCCAAGAATTCCAATTGAGAGGATAAGATCTCCGATAAGGGGAACAAAAAGTGGTTGTTTGGATATAATGAGATGGTTCTCAGGCCAATAAGAAGCCAGAATGTCTAGCAGATAGAAGAACAAATAGAGGTAACCCGTTCCATGGTTTGTAAAGTGGAAAGAACTTGAGATGACGAAGAAATCTTTTAGCTAATTGTGGGCGAAATCCTCATAGAAAAGGGTGTTATCCTTATTCGCTGTGTGCATTTGGCTTGGAGGGGATAGATTAAGCTATCGCAGCGCCTATGGTGGCAGGAGTCGGCGATTGTCCACATCATCGTAGTAGCGCGGTAGCGTGTTGTGGGTCTCGTGTTGGGTATTAAAATGAGTCGTCGTTATTGTAGTGTTGTCGAGTGTAAAAACACTAGCAAAAATAGTGCATTTCGAACTATTTCCGTAAACGCAATTACAAGAAACTGACAGAATTCGCCGAGTTGCATCAAGCTGAAATAATATTAGAAAACATGAGATTATTTTTATTATTGTCAATAATAAATGGATTTCAACACAATTTTTATCTTACATGCAATTCTACAAGAGATTCTTATTTCGTGACAGACGTTTGTCTAATGACACCAGCTCGGATAAAAAGGCCAACACCTGACTCGCTGTGCTCTTCGACATTTATGACATGCCCAGCTTCTACCAAATCTTTACCTTTTCTTGGCGTTTCAGGCTGAAAGTTTATGTCATGAGATATTTTCTCAAATCCAGTGTACAAGATGACACTCATGACAAAAATGTAGCATCTAAAAATACAGACAAATTACATTGATTTATGACATTCAAAACGCAGATACTTCGTATGCATAACCTCCAAATATTTTTATGTCATTTACTTACTTTTTGTGCAACAGAAACAATTTTTGTTAGTCTATCAACTAACAGCGAACACAAAACTTGTTGCAACACTTAATTGTTGAAAAAGAATTTTCAAGTTCAACTGTTGAGTGTGAGGTGTATAGCAAGTATGCGGGAATGAATGAGGAGAACTGTCGCTATCCCGTCACCAGAGAGCGCTACCAGTCTTGCACACAGCGAATATTCGGTCATCAAACACAAACAATGGTATTTTAATTGAAACGAGGAAACGAAGTGCTGCAAAATGACTACTGAGAAAAAACGATTTTGCTTAATAAATTGTTGCAAGTCACGAGAAGTTAAAAACTAAATGTCAATTGTAAATCCCAACAAGTTTAGAAGAGGTCAGAGGTTGAAAGTGAAATTAGTAAAAAAATTGTGAAGCAAATATGTGTTACAAATTAAGTTAGAATAACACAAAATATTAAGAAGTGATGAACAAATAACTAATCTAACATAATAAATAACAATCCATCATAGGGCTGACATGGCAACCCTGAGGGCCTGTCAGATTTGGTCCCATTTGAGAATTGGAATTTATTTCCTCTAATAATTGCCCGTTTTGGCTATTATCCCGCCCTGTTCTAGGGAACGAAAGACTACAGTGAGTTTTACTATCTACGCTCTCTCAACCAGCTTTACTACATACTAGTGAAGGTAATACCCAAAGCAGAATTCATTAGAGACTGAAGTCGAGATTTTCTAACGCTTGTTGATGAGTCCTAATAAGGACGAAATTGGTCCAAGTATGACTTTCTCCGTACGAAGCAAAATCAAAGCTAGAGTGCTGAAAAGGATTTTCTATATCTGCTCTTTTCATTTTGATATAATTCAATGCCTGTTGCGGTATTAGCCAAGGGAATAGTTGTTTTTAGTAGGTAAACGGTGGTTCGACTTTGCTGTGATACGGACTTTGAGATTTTTCTTTTCCTTTGCTATTATTTTGAGTAAGCTGAGATATGGATAATTTATCAATCTTAAAAAACTGTTGATAATTTGTCTTAGAAAATAATATCATACATGTTATGTACGTGCTTTACGCACGGTAGTTATAACTTTGTTAGTCACTATTACGTGTATTGGTAAAATCTGGTAACGGTATTCTGTAATTTTAAATTAGGAATTGTCACTGTTTAACTGGCCTAGAACAAAAACTCGTAACTTGATCCCAAATACGAACATAAAAAATTTCCAATGTTAAAATAATAAACATTATTTTATTTTATTTTATTTTAGGCAAATTGTTGGTGTAGCTATAAGAAAAAGCATTGAGAACAAATTAATTTATAATAAATGCTCTGGTAGTGACAAAATTGTTACGTGTGCGGATCGTGTATATTCCAAAATACCTAAATCTATTAGCACTCTCGGATTAGTCTCCAGGGTATTGGAAATAGAAAATTATGTTTTGGTTGTGGAACCTAAAGGTATTATTTTTGTTATTAATAATATTTAAAGAGATATATTAATAAAAAATTTATTTTAGGAGATGTAGAAGCACCGTACGCTCTTTTCACGTCTGAAGATGTTCTAAAAATAGTACAGACAAAGAAATCATCATAAATGTTATTTTTATTTTTTCAGCATATATTTAAATATGTAGACTTGTTTTTATTTTAAATGTTTTGTTCTTGATTTTAACTTTTTGTTTTTTCGTGTAATATGATGTTTTTGAGTCAAATAAATATTTTTCTTTAGATAAACTTAGAATTTCCTATTCTTATTTTTTATTTATTTTCAAAAACCAAAGAAATTATCTATTAAAGTGTAGAATAAAAATAATAGTAATTTAAATCATTGTCTCTATAAAGGTATTGTTGGAAGGTATGAAAGGTCCTTATATTAAACACACAGTGAATATCCTTTATAGTTCATTTATTAAAAGAGAGCCGTCGAGTGCTATTATATAACTAATCTTTACTGGGTGTTATTGGTTTCAGTCGGTCTTAAAATACCCATATATATTGTTGACAGTAATATAAAGAATAACTGACTCAGCTTGCTAGAAGGCCATTCTCCATATACTAAACAAATAGAATATTATTTTTGTATAACAAACAACAGGTATAATCTATCAACCTTATGGACGTAAAAGTTTTTGGGTAATGTTGAATCTATCGTAGTCGTATTTTGACCAGAATGCTATCCTCTCACATTAAAATTGATTCCATACGTAGCTTGAAAATTGTTGGTGCACATGCGCAGTTCGCGTTGAAAACTAAAAAGTGCCGATTTCAAAGTTTTGCACGTTGTTACAATTAGAATTTGCAATTTTTTATTATTTCATCTTATTAAACATTTTCGTATATTTACACTTCTTTGATATGATAAATAACATTTATTTGAGACACTTCTAATATTTCATGTCTTTATTTTTTTGCTTATTCGAGTAAGGGGCAAGAATTTAATAGTCCGGGAGTAAGGGGCTTTTTACCGAAGTATTTCATACAGTCTCAACAGTTCGATCAGAAGCCGGCTAGCGCATGGCGAAAACAAACGTCAACTGCTCCAATAGCGGTGGGAGCAGTTGTGGGAAGCTGCAAAACAAAATGGTTTGCTAAGTCATCTCAGATCAGGTGAAATTATTTTGATGTATTACTGACGTCAAATACTATAATACTATATAAAACAAATGAAAGGCAAGGAGAAAAAACCAACGATGTCCATTTTATAGAAATTTTGAAGTATTCAACATGTTATGTTGGTGATACAAAATACCAAACACATGCTAAATTGTAAGCAAATAAAACAAACGAGGTCCGAATAAAAAAAGATTTAAAAATAATCATAATGATTAAAAACGGACGTTGTCCGCGGATTACTGGAATAAAACTGACGTTGTCCAGGCTAAATACAACGATTTGCACGTACCAATACGTTATTGTCACCCAAATTCTAACGAATTTTATGAAACATTGTTATACAGGTGAAAATCTCTTTATTATAGGTTAGTTTTAAAATGGAAATTATTCCCTTTTAAGGACAGAGTCTCCAAAGGATTTGCAGTCGAATTCTGTACTGCGAGACTGCCTAACCAGTAGTGCCTGTAGTCAAATATTTGGTAAAATAATTTACTCACCAAAATGAATTATCGATCCGTTGAATTTGTTATTTGCTACTCATGAAGTTCTTAGCATAGAATCATTTCAGTTAAATGAGATTCTAGGCGAAAACTACATAGATAAGGACATAAATAATATTTATCAAATAGGAAACTCAGGACCCATTATTATACAATTTATTTCTTTCTTGCAAAAACAAAAACTATTTAAAGGACTACATAAGCTTAAAGATACGGGAATATCCATTTCAAATGATCTAAGCCCAAAGGATCAGAATAAACAAAGGTTAATCGTATATTTTCTAAAGAAAGCGAAAGCTGAAAAACAGAAGACTTACATCAAAAACTTTGTTCTATATGTGAATGATATACCCCAGGACATACAAGATTTGGAGAAAAAATACGCTGCAGAACAAAGCAGAGAAATTAATATTCCACTTTCCCCCAACACAAATAGCGCACTACCCTCTACACCAATAATTGATGCAAATACTTCATCAATCGAAAGTGAAAATTCTGAAGAAGAGCTTCCAGATCAAGAGGATAAAAGTGAAACACTAAGTAAATTGAGAGAATCTCCAAAAGCAACTTCTACCCTCAAGTTTAAGAAGCCAACAGTCGGCAGTGGTAACGATAGCAAGACTAACAAGGATAGCAAGGCTAAAGAAACCCATCAGAGACTTACGAGAAATCAGAAGAAATCCGTGTCCGAAAAAAGCTAAGTTTATGTTATTTTACCAAAAAGAAACAAATTGTAATAGTCAATTTCTGGCTCAATACTTTTAATCTAATTTTGTTTTTGTTTTAGTTCAACTTTTTTAAATTAATTTTATATTTGTGTTACAGCTGTTAGTCTGTAATAATTGGTAATTTTAAGATTTTACTCTATAAGCGCCTCCACTATTACTTTTTAATACTATATGTGCAAATTCGTATATTGTTTTTATATATACAATGGATAAGTATATACAGGATTTTAAAATTAATTCAATAAATACCTTTATTCTAGATTCAGAAAACGAATGTAAGCAAGTCCTAAATGTCAATAATAACGACAATAATTTTAAAATAATACATAACAATATCAGTAGTGTGAACGCTAATATCGATGAATTTAAAATTCTCTTAATGAATATAGATATCTCTTTTGACTGTATAGTATTCACTGAAACTTGGAAGCTTCTAGACTACACTTTATATAGCTTACCAGGTTATAACATTATATATAATGAGGGTGATTTTAATAAAAATGACGGGGTCTTAATGTATATTAAACAGGATTATGATTTTGAATATGAAATTATAAAAATTCAAAATGTAAATTTTTTGAAATGTAGAATTAACTTTAGTGGCCAAAATATCGTCATCACAGCGGTATATAGATCACCAGCTTCGGCAATTAGAGAATTTACGGAGGTACTTCAATCATACTTCGATAGTAATAAAGAAAAAGATGATCTCCACTTTTTTATTGGAGACATGAATATTAACATTTTAGCTCATGATAAATACACTACTGAATATCTGAACACCCTAAATGAATTTGGCTTCTTATCTACAATCAATGAACCAACCCGACTTAAAAACTGTATTGATCATATTTTCTTAAAATCCAAACAAAATATAATGAATAATATTATGCCACTAGTACTTAAAAGTAATATAACAGATCATTCAACAACTATAGTACAACTAATCTTTAATAAAGATCTAATAAAAAGTGAAAAGCTATGTCCCAAAAAGATAAAGTACTTAAATCATACTAAACTGATACAGAAAATACAACAGGTAGATTGGCAAATAATACTTACGCAAACAAATATAAATATAGCAATGAATACACTTATAACAACAATATCTAAACTCATAAATGAATCTACAGAAATAAAAAAATATAAAAGAAAAACATCAAAGATTGCACCATGGATCACAGGTTCGATATTAACAAGCATAAACAAAAAAACGATATATTTAAAAAACTGAAAAATGATTCAAATAATGAAATTTTAAAAAGTGAGTATAAATCGTTTAGAAATTCAGTTACAAACTTAATAAAAACATCTAGAGCCAATTATTACAAAAAAAAATTGAACTAAATTCCAGTGATCCAAAACAACTCTGGGGCGTGATTCAAGAGTTGAGTGGTTCGAGCAATAAAAGTAATAAAATTAATATAATAAAAAATGAAAACGACGAACTAATATGCGAAAAAAAGGAAATCGCCAATGAATTCAATAAACGTTTTGTTGAAATTGGGCAACTGCTCGCAGAAAAAAAAAATCTAAATTTCCAGAATACCTTTAAGAGAATTCCTAATTCAATAGTTTTATTACCAGCGGACTCTAAAGAAATAAAAAATTTGATTTGCGAACTAAAACATAAAAAATCTACCGGAATAGATGAAATCAAAGCGGAAACTATTAAGTTGCTCTCTAACTACATTATTGAACCATTACAATACATTATAAATAAATGTTTTCAAAATGGAATATGGCCAGAGGCATTCAAACAAACCATGGTAGTTCCTATTTTTAAAAAAGGTGATAGAACAATAGTTACTAATTATAGACCAATTTCACTTGTGACTAACTTCTCAAAGATCTTTGAGAAATTATTAAAAAAAAGAGTAATGTCTTTTATAGATAGGTATGAGTTACTCTCGCCTCGGCAGTTTGGTTTTAAAGAAAATACTTCCACAGAGGATGCTTTACTCGTCCTAACCAACAAGATTCACGATGCCTTAGAGAGAGGGAGGCCATGTCTGTGTATATTTATTGATTTGGCAAAGGCTTTCGATACAGTTAGTCACACATTACTATTAGAAACATTAGAAGAGGTTGGAATAAGAGGAAATTGCTTCGCCCTTTTGCAAAGTTATTTACAAAATAGAACTCAAATGGTAAAATTGGAAAATGAAATTAGTGATGAAAGAAAAATAGCTTATGGAGTTCCTCAAGGGACTGTATTGGGGCCTGTACTTTTTAATTTATACGTAAATAATATATTTTCCCTAAGAAATGTGGGCGATATCATAGGCTACGCTGATGATACAGCTATTTTCTTTGAAGCCGACACATGGTCAGAATTAAAAGACAAAGCAGAAAACGGCTTCCGCATTATAAAAAAATGGTTTGACCACAGGCTCCTAACTATTAATATGGATAAAACCTTCTTTTTACCCTTTAGCTGCAACAAAGCTGGCAGTTGTACCTTTCAACATCTTATCAATGATACCTCCAATAACAAAATAACTTCCGTATCGCAGATAAAATACTTAGGAATCTTTATAGATACACACCTTAAATGGGATATCCATGTTAATTATGTAATTAAAAAACTGCAAACAATCTTATATAAATTTAAACAATTAAATAAATGCTTGCCACTAAATTTGATGAAATCTTTATATCTCTCCCTAGTGGAAAGTCACTTGCGTTACGGAATAATCATATGCGGCGGAACTCTACAAGTACATTTACATTCGCTGGAGATAATACAAAAAAGATTTTTAAAATTAATTATGTCTAAAAAATCTATTTACCCATCTGATCTTCTCTATAAAGAATGCCAAATCATGGACTTAAGACAGTTATTTTATTATTGGTCCAATACTAAATTTTACTCCTCCCAAAATAAAGAATATTCTGAACACTCCCACAATACTAGGCAAAAAATGAGTACAGTTTTACCCCTAGTAAAAAATCCATTTCACAAATATCCTACTCATACACCGCAAATTTTTTTTATAATAGTCTTCCAAATAATCTAAAAAATATAAAAAATAAAACTATATTTAAAAAGGAACTAAAAACATAATGTACTGGCAACTGATCGAAATAAAATTAGTGAGATATTGGAATCTCAATTAAAGTAATTTAATATTTCCGTTTTTACTAGTAATATTCAATGTCGTCTTACCTGTTTACTATACATATCACCATTTTACTCATCTTTTTACTGATATTTATACTTATAATTTTTACTTATAAATAATTTAGTAATATTTTTTTAAATTTTTTATTATTGTGAAAAATATTGTTTTATAATCCTCTCAAGTGCATAGTTAATTCTATATATAGGTTTATATTTTTCTCTCAGTATTTAAGTATTTTAATAATTTTTTTTTGAACCATGTTTTTTCTTATATCAAAACAAGTGTCTCAACACTTATTAATTATTATTTATTTCTTGATTTTTTTTGTATTTTTATACATTTACTATAATTTGTATTCATTATGGAAATAAAGTTATTTATTATTATTTATTATTATCTCTAGTTTTGAGCTAGCAGCACAGTTCTTGTAAATTTGAATTCTAATTCGCCTTCAGGATCAGGATTTAAAATAGTAATAATACAACAATGTTATGGTTAATTTGGAATTTTTCCAGAAAATAACATATTCAAACATTTTTTGAGTAGGTACATCGTTAAAGGGAAACACTTTCTTCCCCTTAACAATAGAAATTAATTTTTGCTGCTATATTGAAGATTTATTTGTATATTATATGTACTCATTGTTGTGATGTGATTCATTTTTACAGGTTGTGATAGAAACGACAAAAAAACTACTATGATTATGATTTAATAGAATTGTTTAACAAGAGTTTATAATTATTTACTATCTGTGGCAAATGGTTTATCTATTGCCATCCTGCTTCCTCTAACAAATACGTATGGTTTAAAAGGTATAGGTAAAAATAATAATAATTTAGGATTAAAAGCTAGGTTCACAATGAATTGGGATTTTTTTTTTCAGGGAAAACAAAATTATCGCTGTCATATGATTTTTTATTCCTATGAAATACATTATTTTAGCCCGTTTGCTCAGGATAGTGATTGGCATAGGGGCCGGCCGACAGATGATGGCCAAAATTTGGAGTGGGCTCAACAACTAATATTTCCTTAATTATTTTAAATTTTAATTAACAATCTAAATTCTAATATAGAAGAATTGTATATATGTAGAAACAAATTGCCGCTTTGTCTACAAGTGCATGAATCATTTCATCTTTTATATTTTTTGGAAGTACTAGAAGAGGTATATTTTTCTGCCTATTTTTGATGTTATTAATTATTAAATCCTTTGTAATATCCTAATTTTTACTTTTTCACTATGTAATGAAAATAACAGTTTTTAATTTTTCATAATATTTTTATTAATTTAATAGGTACATACTACTTTTAATATGTATCAAACTTTTCTGATCCATATTTTGAATAAACTCTAGAATAGTCAAAATACTTCTTTGGTCCACTCTTTACTGTTAATTCTGAATTAATATCTAAGTATAAGAAGTCTTCTTCAGCAACTTTAGGCCATTTGAAATCTCCTAATACTTCAGAGTTATTACCAGTAGGATTCCTAAAATAAATAATTATTTATAAATTTCTTTTCCAATCGAATTTTAATTAAAATAAAAAACACTGATAATAATTGAGTAACCCAAAAATGTACATCTATAAGAAAAATAAAATCACACAATGTATTCGATTAAAAGTTTTGTGGAATATTAAATTATCCAGTTGACGAAACAGAAATGTGAACACCAAAATTTAATAATGTTATTTATACTTTTCATCATGGTTGTTCACCGCATTCAAATTTGACAGTTCTTAAAAAGTATTAAAACATTTTAAAACTAGAGAAACCCCATCCCTTTGTTTCACGTTGTTTGTACTCTAATTATTATTTGGTTTAGCAAAACTAGTAGGCAAACAAAAAGAAGAATTAAAAATTATCAATGGCGTTACAATTACTTTGATAAATCTTTTATGTCTTATTATTTACAGTTTTTTTTTAATATGTATCAACTTTAATATTGTTCTTTTATTATAATTAGGTTTGTTTTTGAAAATTATTACATTTTTAAAATCGAAAAAGTGCAAATTTTCTAGGGCGTGTTTTGTCAGGGCAGTAGAGTTTTAATTATTAGTTGAAATGTTATTTTTATGATTTTTTATTGTTTTGTGTAAATATTGTTTTGTTTGTTTGAAATTGCAATTATTTAATACACAACACTTAGATGATTTGTTTTAATTATTTTTCGATTAAAGGATTAAAGTTTTTGTTATATTGTTTGGTTTATGAGCAATTTTTGCATTATATCTAGAAAAAAATTTAGAAGTTTGTTGAAAATTCATTTACATATAGCAATGAAATATAATGGCTATGACAACCTAAGAGCGTTCACATTTGGATTGCGACGACTGTAAATTTGTATTTATTATAAATAACTCGTATTATCGTTTTATCACAGATAAAATATTATAAAAAAATACGTAGAACCGAAAACATGAAGATCGGCTCCAGGGAAGGGGCCTTACAAATTCAATAAACTTTTTTGAATAAACTTACAAATGTTTTATAAATTGTGACCACATTTCCATAACCCGCTCATGGGTCAAAATATCTTCTTTGGGAAATTGGTCCAGATTATCAGCAGTCGCATTATGCCAAAAATACCCCAATTCTTCTTTATTTCCAACATAAGAGGCACCTGAAATTATTTCATTTTTATTTTATATAAGACTAGTGTTTATTCTGTAAAAATTTGGTTAAAAATAACTGTTATTTTTAATTTTGTATTCTGTATTATTTGGTTAAAATTACATGTCATATATGTATATTTTCTTTCATATTTTCAATGCTGCGTTGGGTTCATTTTGAATGCACTTTTGGATATGTTACATCGTTGCCATGTCTATTTTAACCGGGGTTGGTTATAAAATAACAAGGTAGAAATTTGTGTTAAAATTTAAACGGCATATTTATAAATAATCTTTTAACCTGCCGGTTAAAATTAACTAAAACATTGCAGAATAGACCCATGTGTATGATAATCTAAGGAGATGGGGAGCAAATCCAGTACAGTATAAATGGAGGAACATTATTGATAAAGCACACTAAATACACACCAAAAGTACTAAAATAAATTATTGACTTGTAGAAAGTATAAATAGCATCAATTTTAAACAATTTTAAACAATTTTAAACAATTTTAAACAATTTTAAACAATTTTAAACAATTTTAAACAATTTTAAACAATTTTAAACAATTTTAAACAATTTTAAACAATTTTAAACAATTTTAAACAATTTTAAACAATTTTAAACAATTTTAAACAATTTTAAACAATTTTAAACAATTTTAAACAATTTTAAACAATTTTAAACAATTTTAAACAATTTTAAACAATTTTAAACAATTTTAAACAATTTTAAACAATTTTAAACAATTTTAAACAATTTTAAACAATTTTAAACAATTTTAAACAATTTTAAACAATTTTAAACAATTTTAAACAATTTTAAACAATTTTAAACAATTTTAAACAATTTTAAACAATTTTAAACAATTTTAAACAATTTTAAACAATTTTAAACAATTTTAAACAATTTTAAACAATTTTAAACAATTTTAAACAATTTTAAACAATTTTAAACAATTTTAAACAATTTTAAACAATTTTAAACAATTTTAAACAATTTTAAACAATTTTAAACAATTTTAAACAATTTTAAACAATTTTAAACAATTTTAAACAATTTTAAACAATTTTAAACAATTTTAAACAATTTTAAACAATTTTAAACAATTTTAAACAATTTTAAACAATTTTAAACAATTTTAAACAATTTTAAACAATTTTAAACAATTTTAAACAAAACAATTTTAAACAATTTTAAACAATTTTAAACAAACATTTTGAATTATAACAGTAGTTTGAAAGTAAATTTTGATGAATTTTTTGTAATACTAGAGAAAGTAAACAAAAAAATAATATTGCTATAATAGTACTAACTAAAACGTGAATGGTAAAAGATCTTTCTTATTTTAAAATTAAGGATTTTGCGGTCTATTAAAATGAAGCATAATATAATAAATGTGATGAGGTGGTAATTTACATTAAAGAAAAAATTATGACAGACGTAAAAAATTATCTTTACCGGAAGTGAATTTGCAAGAATGTAAATTAGAGTTTATAGTCGAAGCATTGAAACCAAAGAGTTCGGAATTTTTTAGACTAAGACCGATCGGAATGCGGTTTTTTGCATTGACTTCCAAACATTTTTTGGAAAAAATGTCACTACTTTTTATCTTATACAAGCTGGAAATTGCATTGCTGCAGCCAAAAATGCATTTTTTGAGACGGCTTTTGGAAGATTAAAGAACTTTGTAAATAAGAATCAGAACTGGTTCAAATCGGGTTCCCGGGGGTTTTCGAGATCGCTGATCACGATTATGATGTTCAAATTGACCCACAGCCGATGAACGTCATCTCCGTGGGACTCTTTCGAAATTCACGCGGGGAAGGAGAGAAACTCGGCGCTAGGGCGTCTTTGGGTTGCTTAATTCAAATATGGCATCGGCGAATACCCCCGGACACCTGGTATGCCGGAACCTGGGCCTGGACGTCATCCCCGAGAATTTTCCTGACAAGATCACCAAAAACAATCCGAAAATCATGGTGGGGGCGTTTTTTGGGGCGCTAAATCCAAATTTCACGTCGAAAACGACCCCCTGAACACCTGGTGCACCGAAACATGGACGCGGACCTCATTTCCGTGATTTTTCTCACAAATCGAAAAAGACGAACCGAAAATCGTTATGGGTTTTTTTGGGGCGCTGATTTCAAATGTGGCATAGGCAAACACCTCCCGGACACCTGGTGCGCCCAAACCTAGACGTCATCCCTAAGAATTTACCTGACAAAACAACCCGAAAATCATTGTAGGGGCGTTTTTTGAGCGCTTAATCCAAATTTCACGTCTAAAACGATCCCCCGAACACCTAGTGCACCAGAATCTGGCCGTCTCCGAGGATTTTCCTCACACAATCAAAGAAGACGAACGCAAAATCATTATGAGGAGTTTTTTGAGGCGCTGAATTCGAATTTCACATCAAAAACGACCCTCCCAACACCTGATGCACCGGAACCTCGGACTGAACGACGTCTCCGAGGGTTTTCCAGACACGATCGCAAAAGGCTTATCAAAAATCTCATAATTTTACACATTCATTGATGTGTAACTCTCGTCTGGGGCACTCGAAAAAGTTGATCCAGTCCTGTAAAATTCTAAATGTCGGGTTTGAATAAAGCGAGTACAATTACGAGAATAATCTCCAGCTGAGTTTCTCTCCTTCCCCGAGTGAATTTCGGAAGAGTCTCACGGATAAGACGTTCTTTGGCGTTCCTAAGCTCCAGGTCGGCTGTGGGTCAATTTAAACATCATAATCGTGGTCAGCGACCTCGAAAACACCCGGGAACTCGATTTGGGCCAGTTCTGACTCTTATTTACAAAGTTATTTAATCTTCCAAAAGCCATTTTAAAAAATGCTTTTTTTGAATGCATTTTTGGCTGCAGCACTGCAATTTCCGGTTTGTATAAGATAAAAAGTAGGGACATTTTTTCCAAAAAAATTTTGGAAGCGAATTCAAAAAACCGCATTCCGAACTTTTGGCCTTTTTAGTGCTTCATTGCCTCGACTATTAATAAAACTAAAATAAATATTATGAGAAATAATAGACCTAATCCAACTAATGAAGAATTATTCATAAACGATCTTGCTTACATAAATAAACATATGTTTGTGATATTAATGTCTAAATTGTATGTAATACTGATTATACAAATCCGAAATTTTACTCACAGTAGATTTCTTGACTAATCAGAATAACTACGTTTTTAAATTTACCTATTAAATCATTCATAACTTAGTTTTAGTCGAAGCTAAAATCAATAGCTGTTGATACTACTGTTAAAAGGACTGGAATCCCGTCCATCTTTTGTCCACTACAAAGCGACTGAAGAAGCATGTTATCCGTTTTCTTATGTGCTATCTATAACACCGACAAGATTTTTTGCTTTATTTTAAGCGCCGTCAATCTATGTTGAGTGTATTGTTTCATTTACCATTGTTTAAGTTTATCATAACCAAATATTAGGGTTCTTAGAGCTCAGGTTCAAACATACTGATAAAGGCTCAGTAAATTGTGAACTGGCGATGTGACAAGTGTGTAAAAAATAGGTGGATGTCCATTTAAGATATGAGAAAGATCAACCAGTGATGGAAAAAACATAGGCTTGACCGTGTTCCAATGTGTATATTTGGCTTTAGTCAAGCTTTTAAATAAATAATAAAATAAAATAAAAACTTTCATACCTTCAATATCGGTATATTCATATCTTCCCAAGATTCCGAGATACGAGAATTGGTACAAATAAACGTCTGTGTATTGAGATTGCAAAAGAGCATGTCTGGCGATTGGTGTGGTAAATGCACAATCACCCATAAACTAAAAAATATGTTTTTAAAGGAAATATATTTTATAAGAGAATATAAAGTTTGTACATACTGGGTAATAAGAAATAAATAAATTTTATATTAAAATAAAGTCAAGCGCTCGTAGCATTTAAGTCATTAGCGTCACATATTCAAACAGACATATTTTAATAGAAGGTAGAGCACACTTATCTAAATTCAAAATACCCCCATACTTAGCATTCTATATTAACTGATTCACGTTCCAACATAAGAAAGTCAGCTGTTAGAAGGATTCAAAATGCTAAGAAAATTGTGATGAATGTAATCAGAATCTTTAAAGCACCCAAAATTAATTTTGGTGCTAAAGATTTTATAGACCTTATAGACTGGCAATCTTTAGTCAGAACTGAGCCTTCCATGACAATGAAATATAGTGATAGTGATTTACAAAATATTATACAAAATATGATAATTATACTCGATTTTGAAAAGTTTCCTTGTCATATACAATCTATAGAGCAGTGTGTAAAACTTGTTACTGAGGTTTCACAAAAGGTATGTGGTGAGACATCAAGAAGTGATTGATATAAAAGAGCAAAACTTGATGCTTGTTCAGACTTGCCAGTATTTGACAATATAGGTTAGTACTGAGATGAGAAGCATAGGTACCTCTCTACCAACATTATAAACCATTAAATCTAGATAATTAACTGATCATGTGATCCCATTTTCTGAGTGCATTATCAATAAATGGAGTTTTAGTACTTTTACTACTGATACTGCGAAAAAAATAAGATAGCACATAAAAGGAGAACAAAAAGGAATAAAACTCACTTCTTATTACTAAAAAATAAAATATCTCTTCTTTCAATTATTCCTAAGTTGATGTCACAATTCTTGAACTTGGTTAGATATATAAATTGTGGGTACATGCAACCTTTTCCTTTTTCTATGCCTATACTCTTTTATTCTTAGGTTTACAGCATAACATTTGATTAATTTAACAGCATAGCATCAAAAATCGATACAAATCGTTACAGTGTTACAAAAACATTATTCTCGTCCTCCCAACTATTTGCAACACTACAACAGTTCTCAGTTTTCACAACAGAAAAGTAGTTTTCTATCGCGATCGCCGTAAGGTGACAGTATGCTATATACAGGAGTCCCATGAAGAATGAAATACTGAAATTTCTTTGAATAAAAATATGCAATTAAACGAAACATGCCTAGGTATCTGTAACGTGTGAAGGGTGGGTTACCCCACGGAACTTAGGTCTCATTAGGCCCATTGTGCATCCTCCTGAGATGATAGGCACCTCCTAGCTCTTGCCAGCCTACAGATTTAATGTAGATGACAACGTCGTCAAGAGGTGCTTCTCTTATATCGGCCGGTGTTAGCCGATACTAGCCGAACACAAATCTACTAATAAATGAGAGCGTCGAGCAATCGTAAAGGATATGCTCGATGGTCTCATCTTCTTGTTCACACCTTCTGCAGAGTGCGGATTCTGACAGCCGCATGATATTGAGATGCTTTCGTACTTGGCAATGACCAATCAGAATGCCTATGACTAGGCGCAGATTCTTTCTAGTCATAGTCGTTTTTGTTTGCTGTAGTGTTGTCAGGATAACTTAAGAACTCCCTGGCAACTCTGCAGTTTCTTGTTTTATCCCATCTTTCCTTGAATTTCACAAGGGAATGTTCTTTGATTAGGTCTGTCACTACCGATTTTGTCAGGCCAATAGAAGGACCAGGACCAAAAAGTATTTGGTTGGCTGCTTTCTTGGCTAGTGAATCAGTCAGACGGTTACCTTTCGATGTGGCGTGACCTTTAATCCATCCTAAGGTGACCACATTGTTGATGGATACTTCGGCCAAAGCTTCGTGACATTCTAGTACTAACCCTGAATAAATTCGTGGTCTGTTCAGAGTGAGTAGTGCTTGTTTGCTATTTGTATAGATGAGCATGTTCCTTCCAGTGATATTGTCTACATGCCTAGGTAAAATCGAGGGTAAAATTAAAAAATTTATAATGGCTGTTACTTTTTTATTACTCAGTATATTAATACTATATTGGGCATAAGATATACCTATCAGCAAACAAATCAATTAAAGAAACTTTGCCAGTGGCGTATGGAATGGGTAAGTAACACATTTATCATCTCTAAATTTTACACCACTTTCCAAAAATTTGGACTAAAATTTTAATTTTTTTGTTATTTTTGTAATAAATCCTCTTGTTAAATGGTAATACAAAAAACTTAATATTAAAATAAATTAAAGTAAATAGTAGGTATCCACTTTTGAATGCAAATATCTCGAAAATCAATAAATTTTTATTTAATTGATTTTTTGCTGATAAATGTATCTTATGACAACAAAAACGTTTGCAGATTTTAGTAAAATTAAAGTACTAAAATAATTATACATATCCACTAATAATTTTTTAATATTCAACTATAACCTGTCTCTCGAAAACGAGTAACATTTTACCTAAGCGTCTTATTTTTAATCTATAGTTGCTGTATGTCCAAATCATGAATGGGACACCCTGTATATTATTATTTAATTCTGAAAAACTTCTTGGGGAAACAGGTATATTTGGTTGGTTGGAACAATATTGAGATCGTATTACTCCGAGATTCATTATCGTGCGTATCAGAAGTGCAGGACAACTGTATTTGCAAATAAGTGCATTTAGAAGCATGAGCTACGAAGAAGCGAATGCTTTAAGTTGTGCAAATGCGTGAAAGATTTTTTACGCATGAATTTTCCAAAATATTTTTTAAAACGAACAAAATACCATGTAATTTTCGTGGTCAACTCGACCGAAGCGGTGTTTCGTGGTGGTCCTCTGCATACGCGAAACGTGACACTTTAGGTGGTCATTTTAAACAATTATCAATGGTTTCTCTATAGCTATCAACCATTAATTCCAAAATGTTTTGGTATGGTATATAAAAAAATGTGTATTTACAAGACTAATATTTGTGAAAAGTTTCATATGAAAAGTTACTAATTTTTTATACCGTAATCTTGCGCCGATCCTGTCTTATCAGTAGTGCCACCTTAAAACTGAGTTATCATGGCGCCCAGCATGTAGGGATCAAAAATTGTTTTCAATGCTGAATCTAGGGTTTTTGAGATCTATGGTCAAACACATTTAAACCGAAAAACATGGCAAGTACTCTACGAAATAAAAACGTTTGGGGAACTCTGGTTTAGTGTATGTTTATTTAGAGCCATATGTTATATCTAAAATGTTAAATTCACATTCTTGTACGCTTCTTTAAAGAAATACATACCAGCATTACTCTCAAATAAGATGTTTTATTACTCTTTTTTCGTAGGAAACTATGAGGCATACGACCATTAGTTTAGGCGGTATGTGTCTTACAAAATGATTCGACCGTTAAATGGGCATATCGTTGACTGGCATATTTTTGACTGGCATATCTTTGACTGGCTGTATCTTTGTAGCCAACGGATCTAGAAAGCCCCGATTTATCCGTAATTGTAGCAAATTAAGTTTGCTTTATTAAGTTTGCTTTTCTACAATATTGAAGTGAAGATACCCGAAAAACGCGTCCCTAAAGTAATTTTTTCTAAAAAACTGCAATCTGTTAATTTTGCAGTTTTTTGAGCACCACGGGAGTAGCGTAAGGTTTTCAGGGTTGCAAATTTGGGTATAAACTACTACCAGAGATACTAACAACATATAAAAAATTATAGACGCGTTCGCATGTGCGATGTTTCCCTGTTTTTGTGTTGATATTGATTGGTCATAAATAAGTTAAAAAAAAATATTGTATTATATTGCGTACCAATTAGAATCATTGTTCTGTAGTGTACCTGATTAAATAAATAATTAAATTAACTAATTACAGCTGCAATTAACACCGTCTGCTGTCAGTAACAGACCAGTAAGTTTAAAAATTGTTTCATTATGTTAATCTTTACAATGTCCCGTTGATGGCTTGAATGACGAAAGCGCTTGACTTTAATTTAATAACAAAGAAAATATATTGATAAATTTTCCTTTTCATACACACTTTAAATACCAATTCTTTATTTTCTTAAAAATAGTTTAAATCTTATTGATTACTTACACCTACGGAACCCAATTGAGTTGAGGCAAGTGTAGAGTTAGTATATAATTTTGTCAGTTCCTTTCCAGCCTCTTTTCTATTTTCATCTGCCATGATCAAGTTTGCAACAACGGCAAGACTAACGTTCAAATCTATTAAACTAGTTTGAACAAGTAGCTTAGATACATCTAAAATACGAAACGTTATTGAAATACATATTATACATATTAAACCAGATTAATCATTACATCACTAGACTCTACTGAAATGTGCAAAATGGATTAATAAAAAAAATAATGATCCCTAGGGAAAATCATAATTGGAGTTGACTGTAAAATTTAAATGTTTTGGGTTGGTATTTTAGCCACTTCCATAGTATGATATTTTAATCTTGAAATTAAGACTAAACATTATGTAAAATTTGCCAAAACCTTAATTAAGAAGTTATTAAAGTTAAAGGACCCCGCACTAATATTATGAGAAATGGGTTTTCGTGAGATTCTTTTGAAATTTAGATATGTTATAGGTATCGTATTGACCTTCTGATCAGTGGCGACTCATGACCAAAATATTGGTGGTTCACAAGGACAGAATATAGACCTCAGTAGAGTTGTATGGTAGTATTTTCTTCTAATCTCATTTAGAATAGTTTCTACTCCTTAATGACCCATTCTTTCGTGATAATGCTGTAAAAGGAGATTCGTTAATGGGGTTTTTGTGGCAAAACGATCAATTTCCTGCAGCTTCTAAACTCGTGGCTAAGTCGGTTCTACCACCTAAAACTACCAGTCCGTCTTCATTTATTATATATAGTTGAAAGTATTCTCAGTCGACTATTTAGTCTTACATCTTGATTTTTTGCAAGAGATTTACCACTTAAGAAAATATTTTACGTTGATATTATTTGATCAGATTTTCATGTTTTCTAGGTTTAGAGTTTCAGGAAGAGTGACTGTTTTGTTTCTAATCCAAAACAAACGGGTTTTGGAAAATCGTATTATCCTGAGTAACCTTAGCCACTTCGATAATCCATAGATTTTTGGTACACTTGCGTTAGCATCATTGTTTACTCGTATTATGACTTTTTGTTAATTAGTCAATCACTTTCGTGCCTTAAATATAAGAATACTGGGTCTCTGTACCAACCGTCAAAGTTGAGTATGTTGAGATCACTATTTTCCTTTGCGTATATTCTGGTAGCCTCATCAGCAGCGTTGAATTTGGAGGGTATCGAAAACCTGTCACATGCTTTGTAGTCTCCTGGATCGCCCTAATTCTATATGCCTCGAATTGTACCAATTTACTTCCATCTCCCTTAATCCAGTATGTGGATGAATCAGACCATAAAAAAACTTTGTCGATTTTAATATATAGTGTATTAGTATTCATCAACCTACTTTCTAGCAGGCTTGCTTGGAGCTCCAATCTTGGAATAGAAATAGGTTTGATTAGTCCAACTCATGCTTTTGATATTACTAGTGAGACTTCAATAGTGCCTGAGCTGATAATTCTAAGATATGCTACACTACCAAATGACTTTTTACTGGAGTCACAGAAAATGTGAAGTTTCACTCTGTCAGCAACAGATATATGTTTACCATAGCACCAGGGAACTCTTAAATTACCAACCTTCTTCAAATCGCTGAGCCATAATGTCTAATAATGGTAAACTTCTTCATTAAAAGCATCATCTCATCCATTTTTGTGTCTCCAGATGTTATGGAATAAAATACTTGCTTTAATTGTCAGGTTTGAAATCGTTCCAAGTGGATCGAACAACGACGTTACAAACTTTTACTGTCTGTTAGTCCTTTCGAATGCAATTTAAAATAAAAGGTATCTGATTTCGCACCCAATGAGATTCCTAATCCTCGTTGGATTGAAAATTCATTGAAATCGAGATCTGTGCAGGTGACGTCATTAGTTGATAAGATATTCATAATTTGTTTGGAGTTCGATATTAAATTAAGAAGATCAAACCCACCTACATTTTGAATACGTCTAACTTCCTGAATTCTTTTAATTGCTCCCTTATCTAAATTGTCACAGTCCAAATATAATATTTTTGATTATAGTCCAGTTCATCTTGCCTAGTAGTGTCTTGTCGGGTGTTTAGATTTTTTATAAACTGGGCATATATTAGCGAATTGGTAGTTCCAAAAGTCATGACTAACATCTCATAAGTATCGTACATTCTGGTTTCCTTTCTCTCCCTCCGCAAAAAGCATTGGGAACTTTGATCGGCCTCTAGTATACACCTTAGACTAGGTAATAAAGAAAGGACGCGTAACAAGTATATCGAGCACACGTAGTTATCTGTGCCAACTATCTATTGGCCGCCATTATTTTGATGCTTAGCATTTTGGTGACAACAAACTTTTTTTTCGTGTTTATTTCTGATTTTTGAATTAAACATTTAATAATTGATTTATTGTGTGGCATATCCGTGTAAAAGTTATAGTGTCAAGAAAGAAGCAGATATTACGTTTCACAGGTAAATGATTAATATCAATCGTTTTTACTTTATATATTTTCTTATATTTTTTATTTTATTTGGTGTTATACAAGTTGGTATTTACATATTGTACATGTCTCACTCCATAGTAATAACTTTTACCCACCTTTTTTGTTTATTTTATGCTTTTCATTGATATTTAAGCAATTTATGATATTAAAATGACCAAACAAGTAATTTTTTCCAGTGGCGTATCGTTCAATTCTAAGTATTAACTTTTATTAAATTCTAATTTACTTTTGCTTTTTATTTAATTGCAGCAATGTTTATTTGTTGTTTTATTTTAGATTTTCTGTGGATCCAGCAAAAAAATCTTCAGCCAACGCAAATTGCAAATTGGATGCCTACGCCAAATAATAGATTGTATTCAAAACATTTTCAAAGACATTTTTTTTATGGGACGTTTACTAAATGGAGCAGTTTCCACTATATTTCCTGAATACCCTAAATACATGCAGCCGAAGAATGTGCGTATACTAATAAACATAATTAAACATACATATTTTTTTAATTACTTTTCATTATTATGTTATGCACTTTTAAGAATTTAGTATAATTTAAAACATGACCGTAATAGTTAATTGTTTGTAGGACTTAAAAAGAAGAGCATTGCATTTGGAAGCTGAGGCAGGCCCTTCAAATAAAAATGCAAATAAGGAATGTATCCTAGAAAGCCCTAGCATAAAACGGCTTAGAAGACAACTTTTACAACAGGTAGAAAAGAATAAAGAAAAACAAGACAAATCAAAGTTCTTAAACAAAAACTTAAAGATATAAAAAAGTTGTTTCGCTATTTTATCAAACACTGTAAAATAATATCGTTTAATTTTGCTGAATTTTATTATGTAAACGATTTCATTTAGTTTATTTCAATATATTTTTTTCTTGTGTCTCCTCATTTATTGTTAGTTTTATTTTAAATTTTACGCTTTGAACTTGCTTTATACCTAAAAAGATCAATAAAGTACTAATAACATAAATACAAGTTCGTTTTTTATTTCCAACATGTTACGACTTTGGTCGAATATCGTTGGTGTCAGAATGGAACAAGATTTTTTCAGTGGCGTTATGAGTCCTCTCTTTATTACCTAGTCTAAGGTATACACACCTGATGAAACATTTTTCTGATGTCGACACAAAAGGCAATTTTTCTTTCTCTTATTTCATTAGCACACCTATCAATGGTTGGAGATAGTCAGAGTCGGCTAGTAGGTTATCGTTGAGACTTATACCATGTAATTTTGAGGCTACGTCAAATACCACCCGAAGGTTATTTGGCTTCTTTGGATTTATGACAGCAAAATGTGGGAGATACCAGGTTCTATGGCCTACAGTTTTAGATTTTGCTGAGAGCTTGCGAGAGTGACCCTTGTCCAGGTAGATTTTAAATTTCTCCAAATTCTTAGGTATAGTTGTTTTTCTACAAATGATAGTCTTTTTATTGCTACTATTTTGCTTTCAGGCAAATTCAAGTTATCTGATTTCCACAAAAGTCCTATTTCGTATCTATGACTTCTTATTTTTTAAGATGTCTGTGTCACGAGGTTGAGTGCTCTCTCTTTCACTTAGGAAATTTTTGATTAGATAAGTATCTCTCCAAGGGCGCCAATAGTAAAGGAGGTCTAAACTAATTGATTGAGGGTTTCGTTTAAAGTGTCATGATCACAGAGAAGAAAGGAATAATTATGTTCAATTTCTTTATTTTTATAAGAAATGCTATGCATAGTCTAGCCTAATGTTGTCTTGGTCACAACAGGTTTATCGTTGAGGCCTTGTATTACCGTGAGTCGTACCTGATTTTGTCCTAACAGAATTGAGGGCCTCTCGTCAATCTCTGGCAAAGGAAGGTCTTTCAAATGAAAATACTTACTCCAATCTTCTTTTTGGATTACTAGGAATAGCAATGGTAAATTCTATATGCTGTAGACGTTCGTTAAGGCAAATTTCTTAATTCCGTTAGTAACTACAGATAATAGGTCTAAGTCAAAACAGTTTGAGTTTGCATACATTGCACACAAAAAAAGGCTTTTTGGTGTAGTCCTAGGTGTTCTACGATTTCCTTGCCAATCAGTCCATTCATTTATTCGTTTTAAAGAAATTACCTTGTTGCCAGACTCTTTCTTTACCATATACACACATATATAGCATGCAATATTGGACAACCAATTTAATAAAGATCCTTGTATTTTTCACAAAGCGACAAGGTGTTATGATAGAGATAGACCTCTGAAGGTGGTCCTTCAACGGCGTTAGTCCTGGAAAAACTTGAATATTGATCGCTTTCATTTCACATTTTTATATTTTTTCTACCTTTTCTGTAAATTATTAATTTTACCTTTTAAAAAGCCTACATTTAATTTTCATCTGACAAATCTTAAATGATGAGGGTAAAAATATTTATTTTAATACAAAGAAAAACAATCCATACTTAATGAACATCTGATTGAAATAACTATTAAGGAATGAGTTCTCTTGCAACCTACATTTTTTTACTGTATATATCTTCATCACTCGTATTTATATTAAAATATTAAATGTTAATCCTTGAATGAAAATATCAGTCTCTCACACTTTTACTATTTATTTATGTATTGTGTCAATATGACATCCATAGTACCGTCATAGCATTTTCCGCCTATTCAAAGTAAAGTATTGTTTTTTTAAAAACTTGCCGGATATTTCTGTTTGCGATCAAAACCGCATGATTTGAGTGTGCAATTTGATATTTCTGTAAATTATTTATTTCTAAAATATGGAAAACACATATTTTTTAGATTTTTGTTATGCATGCACAAGGCAATCCTGCTAGAGCATATCAAAATAAGAGAGTACGTGCAGCCGACAAAGATTTTGAAGAAAAGGTCATGAAATGGTAAGTATGTGGAAAGCGATAGCGAATTTGATGATGTTGACTATTCTATTAGGGGTCCAGATTAGAATATGAAAGATAATAGCGATAAAGAGATTTAAGACGAGACAAGTACTAAAAATAATCAGAGAAATAGTATCGTTAGTAAATATACCTAGGAAAATAGTGATCAGGAGGGTCACCTTTTAGAAACGAACAAAGAAATCGTTGTCATGGAAAATAACCAGCTGTAACCAGAAGGGTACCAAGTCATAATATAATTTTTAATCGTTTCTTTCATAAACAACCTAAGTCACTTTTTGCCCATATTAGGCTTATCATATTAACATTTCAGTTTTGGAGTAACGCAGAAAAAATTTAAAAATCCCGTATACAACCTTAGTTATATTGTAACGTGAACAGTTACCATTTTTCTTTAACAAGCATACAAAACATATATTAAATTAATTATTTGTTTCTTTTTTATTACAGTATCATTTCGAGATAATAAAATTTGTTTACAAAGAAAATGTCAAGTAATAATTATCATTCTGTGAAAGTGGCTAAAGTATCAAGCCAATCCATTTAAATTTTACAGCCAATTTTAATTATGATTTTTCTCGATGGTTCGTTACTATTTATTACACTCATGATGTCGTTTTCTGTAGAAATATTTAGAACTTATTTTTTTATAAAATTATATACTCACTATAAACTAACACTTCTTCTGAATTGAAGCCGAGCAAAGTGGGAACTCGATTTATATCTCCGTTTTTCAATCTCTCGTGGTTCATGCCCGTTACAAAAGCATTTTCATCATTTTCGTCCTCTTTTACAGCACTCATAGGATATGAGGCCATTGGAAGACAGTTGGCGAAGTCTGGGCGAAAACTCCTCGCAATCTTAAACATTTATTAAATTAGCTGCTAGGTAATAAATAAACTTCAAAAACTCTTCTATTTATGGATCACGTTCCCACGTACAAATGCACTTAGTTAGTCTCCGAAAAAGTGGAACATTATAAAATTAAATTAATCCTTAGTTAATCCTAAGTATACCAGTTAAAATTCTTTTTCTACCTCTGTAATACAAAACTACACTTTCTTAACTATTGTTCAATAATAATTGATGTACATTTCCTTATTTGATAGTTCTGAAAACACAAAGTACTAGTTTTCGTATCTGATTATCATTCTCTATTTATTTTACTAAAATCATATGTACATAAAATGTTAAACAATGTTACTGTGGTTCTCAGGTGCGAGTTAATTTTATTGGTAAAGAAAATACAAATCACATAATGATATGTAATAATGACTATATCACTCATTGAAATATGAACCAGTGAAAACGCTCGATATGTCGTTGTTATCATGTATTACAGCGGTTATTTACATATTATTATGACGTTAATCGAATATACAAGTCCTTGAATAATCGAATATATATGAGAGTTCGAATATTCACTTATGTCAAAATCGCGATTAGATCTCCACTTTAAAATTTGACATTATTTTGTTATAATTTTCCATCATGGTTCATTTTAACAATATTTCTGCCAAATTAATCGATGATTTTTTATTTCGTGAGATATAATCTGTATACAACTCGACAATTGAAAATTCTCAAAACTCGATATAATGTCAGGCTATACATCTCGTATAATCGATAATTTTCAGTTGTTCAGTTGTATAATATATGATTATTTATATAGGTTAAAAGTCAAAATTATATCATCCTCTGGTACGTTATTTTCTCTTTTCACTAGAGAAACCTCAAGAGTGCACTATTAAGATAAAATAAAATCACAAGAAAAACATATACACTGTGTGCCTCCACTGCTTCAATCGCACATGAACTCCATCTCACCGAGATATGTCCATATAAAGTTATAACAGAACAAATAGAAGAGCCGGAAGTGGTAGATACGATTCATATCTAACCCGACGGTTCTAAAACAAAACAAGGCTTAGGCTGTAGAATATACTCCAGATCCCTAAACCTAAACAGAAAATGGGCTGTGAGCAATAGTGCCAGTGTAGTTTAAACAGAGCTCACGGGGATTCTCATAGCAGAAATAAGAAATCACCAAAAACAATACCACTGGAAGGAACATGCTCATCTATACAGATAGCAGACAAGCACTACTCACCCTGAACAGACCACGAATTTCTCAGGGTTAGTACTAGAATGTCACGAAGATTTGGCCGAATTATCCATCAACAATGTGGTCACCTTAAGATGGATCAAAGGTCACGCCACATCGAAGGGTAACCGTCTGCCCAAGAAAGCAGCCAACTAAATACTTTTTGGACCTGGTCCTTCTAATGACCTAACAAAATCGGTAGTGACAGATCTAGTTAAAAAACATTCCCTTGTGAAATTCAAGGAAAGATGGGGAGAAACAAGAAACTGCAGATTTGTCAAGGAGCTTTTAAGTTACCTTGACAACACTGCAGCAAACAAATACTTGAATATGACTAGACAGAATCTGCGCTTGGTCACGGGCATTCTGACTGGTCATTGCCAAATATGGAAACATCTCCATATTATGATGTTGTCAGAATCCGTAGTTTGCGAATAAGAAGATGAGACCATCGAGCATCCTAAGAATATGGATATGGAAGCAGTCGCAGACATGATTACAGTAACCAAGATGTTTCGCTCAATCAGACTATCACCATCCGATACAGAGAGTAAGAAGAGTAGTGTGACCGTCATATCAAAGACAAGTAGGACTTTTAGGAAATACAGCAAGAAATTCGTAAGAAACGACAGGAAGAAGCAGAAGTATTTAAGAAACTCTAAAGAAACAGCAGGAACTGTTGGATCTACAATTTGCGTTTAGACTATCTAGACTGGAAAAAGTGGATTCAGAGTGAAAGGAGAATATCCGTAATTCAAGACAGTCAGCAGTAAGTGAACATCCTAATATTAATAAATGGATTGAAGGGAATATGTCATAGAATTTAGACAATCCTTTTAAACCCAATAATACTCAGAAACCTCACATCTCTTAGGATTCAAGATAAAGTATTGCAAAAGATTTGCCTATTTTTAGCGGCGATCCTATGGAATAGTCTAATTTTAAGAATTCAACTAAAATCTGTGAATTGCCTGATGCTGAAAATTAATTTAGGCTTTAGAAATGTTTAAAAGGAACGCAAAGAAAATAGTTTAGTCTGTTAATTTTGCCACAGAATGCAAAGTTATTTCCCTGTTATAAAAATGTTTTGGTCTCCCGGAATATATAATTTTGTTCTTAAACTTAAAAATTAACTAATGTTATTATTTCTGATGAGGTAAAAAATTGAGGGGAGAAGGGAGCCCAGGTCAATAAAACCCGTTAAAGGAAACGTTTAGTTAGTGTTAGGAACAGCTCTAGTACTACTCGTGAGTAACCCAGATGATTGTGTTACCAAGAAGTGCTCGAGTTAGTTGTAGGTTATACCAAGATTCCCGATGAACCAAATGGAGATAGATGCAACTGTTTAAGTTCGAAAATTCGGAAACAAATATCAAAAATTCCCCTATGAATAATTAGGATCATTCCTGAATCCCAAATGCTTGAAGATTTAAAAACAGTCTACGTCGCCAGGATTCGAACACTGTATAAAAAAAGGCCTTTACCGCTAGACGATATTGGATGTCGAGATTCTTAAGCAGCACTTTGAAGTAATAGTTCGAGTCAGACGCCGTTTGAGAACGAGCCCGAAACAAATATGTCTGGGTTCGAATCCCGGTGACTACAGCCTTTTTTTATAATTCTAAAGTATTGGAATGATCTTAATAATTCGTAGGAGGATTTTTGAGAGTTATTTCCGAATTTTCAAATTAAATATTTCATGTCGAACATAATGAAAATATTTTTAAAAAGCTGCTTATACATATTTCATAAACTGGCAGGCTTTGAGACTACTTATTCGAATAAAAATAGCACCCAAGATGAAAGGCTATACTGCAACGACCTTAGATATACGAGCTGTTCCCACTGACAGCTATTAGGCATTCCAAACAAAATGGCTGCCCGTTTGAAATAACAGGCACATGATAGGTTGTAATGCGGCAACACTGTGGGCTTAATGGTTTAATGGGGGCAATATTATAAATAGTTATATAGATCAATCATCCATGTTTTTAAAAATAAACGTAAGCTTATGTCTTAAAGTAAAAATGTGGGCAATTATTTTTTTTTTAATATTTAAAGGCTGGAAATTTATTTTAAAACACATTTTTGCTAAACCGATTCAAATTAATGAAGACTTGCTAGGCAATATGGCCGCTTGCAAACAACCCGCTGTGAACAATCTATATAACTATATATGTATCATTGACCCTGTCAATGACAACGCCCACATGGTTGCCACAGAAGGCGGTAAACAGAACATCTCGTGCCGTGACGTCACTTATAATGAGACATGCGCGGACGTGCTGCTCACTGATTTTGATTTTAGCCTTTCTACACTTCATTCAATTTTTTTGTGGAACAAATTATTTTCTTTTTAGTGTAGGATAAAGTTTTCTGTTGGGTCAGGATAAAAAATAGTATGTAAACTACGGCAGTAAAGTGGTTTTCCAGGGCTCACAGTGTCCAGGCTCGGCCCTGCCTCGCCTTTCCATATCTTTACTCGCCCTGGAAAACAGTTACTTTACTGCCTAGGTATACAATATTATTATTGAGTTGTGCTCTAGAAAACCCCAATCAATGAAATGTTCACTAGCATTAGCAGTTGCGTTGCGATAATTACACAATATTAAATTTAATTAATTATTATGCAGTGCCTATAAAGGATATTTTGCCGATTAAAAGTTGACTGGCTGGAGAATACTTTCTCGCATTCAAAACAAAACACAACCATTTTTTTTCTTAAAATGCAATCGAATAATAAAAACCAGAGCAATAGATCTACATTTTCAACTCAAGCCACAAAATACTCACAGAAAAAACACCTACTCAAGCAAATAAGTTTGAGGTTAAGTCTATTTCCAAGAGACAAGACATTTTAACAAGTGACCTCACGGCACGAGATGTTCTGTTTACCGCCTTCTGTTGCCACTGGCCATTGCCACCTGTCCAAATGGCTACCAGTGTGTAATGACAGTTTATATATGGCAACCCTGTTGTCATGTTGTCATTAACAGGGTCAATGATACATATATAGTTATATAGATTGCTCAAAGCTGGTCGTTTACGAGCGGCCATATTGCCTGGCAAATATTTATTAATTTGAATCGGTTTAGCAAAAATGTGTTTTAAAACCAATTTTTAGCCTTTAGATATTTAAAAAAAAATAATTGCTTACATTTTTACTTCAAGGCATAAGCTTATGTTTATTTTGAAAAATATGGATGATCAATCTATGTAACTATCTATTTCATTGACCTTGTCAAATCACCAGGCCTACAGGGTTGCCATAATTTTGCCATATCATAACCCGTCAGAACCCACTGGTAGCCATTCAGTTTGGAATGCCTAATTGTTGAAATGCTCAATACAAAAAAGCTCTGTTAAAAATAACAAATGACACGAATTAGTGCCGTTTTTTTATTAGCATAAATCATTAGATCGGTAATCAATCTATGACGTCATCTGACAGGTATCAGTGATGAATTTTCTGCTAAAAAAAAATTGCCTATACTATCAAACGCAGAAACAAAATGACATTTGCGGATGTGTAATTTGAACTCAAGGTAGGAAACAACTCTTGATGATTTTAAGATGGAGTTGAATTTGCGCATAAATTATAGATACCATCAATAATTGGATAGGTCTATTGAAATCTATATAACTGTGTTTAAAATATTATTAAAATCCGCAAACATTTAGCATGTGTAGAATACATCGAATATCGTATACGCCTAATTAAAATAATAACAAAAAATAGTTACCTGAAGTTTAATAGTTTCTGTTTTTAACTGTTCTATATCTGCTGTTTTAATTATATGTAAAATTTCCTGCGATGTAAGGTCACTCTGGTTATTGGGTGTTAAAGCCTTGGCTAAAATTATTCAACATTAAAAAATATTTATTTTCTACATAAAACCTTTTCTAAAGTAAAAAAAATATATATATTTTTCTTAGTTTTATGAAAGAACCTACCTAGAGACTGTGCAAAATTCTTAGAATTTTTTTGGAGAGCCATACATGATAAAGGAGAGCCACTTTGCAGAATGGCTGCTCTAAATAAACCTAGAAACAAATAAAAATAATAACTTTTTTGTATTATAAATATTTCATATTTTTTGACTAGTTGTCATTGAGAAAAATAAGTTTATGATAATTTCTATATAATTTTTTTATAAACAACATCAATGAATCCATTTTCTTTCCATCATGAAGAATTATATATTTGTAAAAAAGATATTGTAAAGTTAACATGTTTCTATTTCTTAGTTTTCTTTTTTTAACAACCTTTTACCATCAACTTTTGTTGTCCGTGTCACAGAAACAACGAGCTACCATTTCCCACCAAAAAACAACTGCTCCTTTGGCTAATACCGCAACAGGCATTGCATTATATCAAAAGATGAATAGCAGAGATAGAAAATAATTTTCAACACTCTAACTTTGATTCTGCTTCCTAAAAAGGCAGCGGTTGAGAGTGTAAATAAAGATATTCAACGAGCAAAAGAGATAACGCCATCTGCACTTAGGAAGCAAAATCAAAGCTCACTGTGATACCTAGGCTCGTATTTATAAACAAATCTCAAGTCGGGCTTGGCTGAGTCGTCCTTGAACGAAAATCGAAGTTCGATTACAAATTCTCTAAAGTTGTAGATGGTTCCAGTGTTACACTAGAATTTATAGATAAACAGTATCAAATCCGTAACTTGTAAGTACATATCAAAGCTCACTGTGATACCTAGGCTCGTATTTATAAACAAATCTCAAGTCGGACTTGGCTGATTCGTCCTTGAACGAAAATCGAAGTTCGATTACAAATTCTCTAAAGTTGTAGATGGTTCCAGTGTTACACTAGAATTTATAGATAAACAGTATCAAATCCGTAACTTGTAAGTACATTTACGGATTTGTTACTACTCATTTCTAAATTCACGCGATATAACCAAATTACGATTTTCATTCAAGGACGATTCAGCCGAGTTCGACTCAGCTGAGATCTGTCTATAAATACGGGCCCTAGTTCTCTAAATCAAGAAGGAATAATAACCAGACGGGCAATTGCAAAGAAATAATTTAAATTCTCAAACGTGACTCAATTTAAACATAATAAAAAAAAGAGATGGCGTTACATTTTTACTTGTTTGTCTACGAGTGAATTTTGTATTGCCATCATATTAGCGACTGAAGTCGAGAGGTTTATGTATTGCTTAAGAATCCTAAAAAGAACGAAACCAGTTCAAAAATGACTTTCTCTTTCGGAAGCGGAACCAAAGTTACGAGTTTTGATAAATATTTTCAATATCTGCTATTCATCTTTTGATATAATGCGGTTTTAGCCAAAAGAGTAGTTGTTTTCTGTGACACGGATTTTGAATTTTTTTTTTATTTTTCCTTTATTGTTTATTTTAGCTGTGGCGTGACTAACAAAAAAGGGGCGCAGGCAAGTGCAATAAGCCAACACATCGGCTTTTAGCGGCTCGCCTGTCTGAGTACTACTGGAGCCATGCGCACTACGCCAACTGGAGGTACTATTAAACATCACGCCACTGCACATCTTCATACAAGGAGAAACCATGTCCGTTATTCACAGGCTAATGCAGTTACAAAACCCAATGAGCTAATTACATAGCGTCGACCATACATGACTCTATCAGCAAGTAAAACAGGATAAGATTCTAAATTGCCTACTGATATAGCCATAACCACATACAAATTTGTAAAAAACTGTCCGAGAATTGTGGAAACAGGGACCTCCCGTGCAAGCTGAACTTGACTGGTGTACACAGGGTTCAAAAACCAAGGAAGGAGCCAGTGTTGGAATCTATGGACCCAAGTCGAAAACAACGATTTTTCTAAATCTAGGAGAATATGTAACAGTGTTCCAGGCTATTAGTCAACACGGTGGAGAAAAATATTAAATTATTAAGTATCAGGCAACACTATTGCCATCTACTCAGACACCCAAGCAGCTCTAAAGGCAATTCTCTCACCAAAAATCAAATTACGACTGGTAAAAGACTGCCTAGACGATCTGGCGAGCTAAGTAGTCAAATCAATGTGACCTAAGCCTAGGTGCCAGGTTACCAGGGATATCAAGGCAACGAAGAGACGAATTAGCCCGAGAAGACTCAGATAAGGCCATGACAGCCTAGAACCCTTCTGTGGAGTTGCTAAGGCATTGTGCAAGGCATTCATCAAACAATGGATGTAAAAAGAGTCTCATGAATAATAGAACGACTATCCAAGACTGAGAGAGGCCATGCAGTTCATCAAGGAACTCTCGGCCAATTTCATAAAAGACTTACTGGATAGAAAACATCAAATATTACCGGTTACTGTCGCCTTAAAAGACACATAAGTGTCATAAATCCAGCAGAAAAAGCAACTTTGTGCAGGTTCTGTGAAGAAGAAGAGACAATTATACACATTGACACATTTAAACGGTAATAATTGGATTGAGGATTAAATAAAAGAATAATTGAAAAATTAGAACACAGTGTATTCAATCACCATGTTTAAGACTAATCTTCTGAGAGTAATGAAAATCTTTTTTTTCTACACCCGTATTATAATAATGCACTTATATGCCCATAATCCGTTTCATAATGATACCCATTATGATACAGATTTTTCATTATGATACAGATTTTTAATCAATAGAAACCTACAATTTTTCAATCAAGCATGATGTTTGACGTTTGTCCTAAATTCCTATGTAATTGTTTTAGTTGTCAAAACGTATTAAATTTTCGTAGATAGCTAAACTTCGATAATTATAATATTAAAATGTCTGATATCAGCGATATAGAACACTCCTCCACACATATAGGAGAAAGGAGAAAATGCAGTACAAAATATTTTGCCCCAAAAATCTGTGGTAATACCAGTACCCAAGGTAATACCATTAATTACAATTTTGTAGAATTTTTTATAGAAATACGAGTAATTACTGTTATTGTGTTCAATACCAATATAAATAGAATATTTATAGGTCTTGATTATTTATCGGGTGTAGAAAAAATAGCGTATGCAACTCTCATGTAATGGTTATTAAAACACTCGCATAAACCATACGAAACTCGCCTTTGGCTCGTTTCGTATCCCGGTTAATGCTCGTGTATTAATAACCATCATTACATGATCGTTGCATAATATACTATTTTTCTTCTATATTTTCAAACTATTTTTTATTTTAGTAATAAGCTGCCAAAAATATATGCAGCGACTTACTAGTTGAACAGTATGTATCTTCAATTCAGTAGAAATGATTTGAGGCATTTAAAAACAGTATTATATGAGACAAATTAGTCAGAATGGATAGAACGATTGATATTGTATAAGAATGTGGTCTGAACCACGCTGAACCATCATATTATGAAAGGAAGTATATAATGGACAAATTAAAAATTGCTCTCATTATTATCATCATCAAACTATAGTTCTGATGAATCTGATCGATGCAAGAAGAATATTTTAGCATTTAAATATTATTTAAGTTTTAAATTGTCATATCTTTATGGCAAATGTAATTAAAATACGAACCTTGTGATTTTTTATTAAATACATGATATCCAACTAAAGCTGCTCCCGACTCTTGACCACCTATAGTTACTTTCGATGGGTCACCTCCAAAACTCGCTATATTTTTCTGCACCCATTTTAGCGCCAGATTTTGATCTCTAAGTCCAAGATTTGTAGGTAGTACACCATCATCTGTACTTAAGAACCCTACAAAAATAAGGTTTAATAGAATTTAATGTATGATCAGTGTAGGAAATTTCCTAGTAATAATGTTTCTAGCTTAAGTGCGAAGTAATATATTCAAGAACAAGACCTCCTGTAATTTGAAAATTTTTTCACGTTAAATTTAAGTTTTTATTCAAAGAATCAACATTTGGAAAGATAAATAAGAATTTTAAAATATACGAAAATCCTTATTATTCTTTTTTTTTACCTAGAGGCCCAAGTCTAAAGTTGACAGTTACAACTACAATTTTTTTATCCATAAAATAATGAGGTCCAAATAAGTCTATAGCTCCCGACGAAACTGAAAATCCTCCTCCATGTATCCAGAATAATACGGGAAGTAATTCATCATCACTTTGATCCTACAAAAAATAAAATTTTATTACATCCAAAAATAAAAAAAAATAAATATTAACTTACCGCTGTAGAATAAACATTCAAAACAAGACAATCTTCGTTTTCTCTAGAATCAAAATGTTTCTGATTAAACTGATAACATATTTTTGAATTTTCTGTGGTATTTAGTACTCCTTCCCATGGCAATGCTGGCAAAGCTTCCTAAAAATAAATATTTTTGTAGAAGGTTATAATATTAAATAAACATATGAAAGGGTGTTTTCGATACGGTTCAAGTAAAATGTAATAAGAGTCAGTTTTAGTAGAAGTGGTTTGTTAGAATATAAATCAGTTCAACATGTTCTGTTGATACATGCAGGTAAAAGTGAGTTCCCATGAATTAAATGGCGCGTTAGTAGCGATTATTTTAATGGAAGAAAAAGACGAAGAATTCTTAGTTTTTAAGTAGTGATTGACCAAAATAAAAAAATATTTTAAACTATATTGTCTTTGCAACTTCTGCTATTCATTTGATAAAGTGCGGTATGCTCCTTTGCCATATCAATTAATATTTCATCCTCTTCAAACGAAAATGTCTACGACGTTCACTTTAATTTTAACACTAATGATCCTAACCCTATTTCACTTAATAATCTATTCATGGAGGTAGAAGGTAGGGAGACACTGTCACGTGATCCAAGACGGGTTCACTTCCGCCATATTGTGTTCACGAATCCTTCAAACTAAATATATTGTACATATTTAAAGTTGCTTATGCTCAATGTATTTGTAGCAACCTAATGTTCATACGAAGAAATTATCAGAAATAACATTCCACAACTAAGTGTACAACATAGTAAACAATGTACAGGGTCGTATTTGGGAAATTGAGATATTAATTGTGCTCTGAGTGAGTGCTGCTCACATTAGGTTTTGTAAAGATGACTTAAAAATAACAAAATTTGCTGAAGCTGGTGCAACAAATTAGATTTAAAAGAATGATAAATATTCTCTTTGATATCTTAAATTCTAAAAATTTTCTTCAGTTTCATTGTCAAAAGCTTTTATCTTGTCTTATGCAGGTGTAAACATTTTCTTAAATGACAAATATTAGGGCCAATTGGGTTGTGTTTAACGAAGATCAAATTATTAAACGAAGATTAAAATGTCATTTTCATTTTAACAATGTCATTTTAGAAATTTAAACTTCATTTAACACAACGGAGGAAATGGCCTTAAGTGCCTTAAAAACACACGTAGGTGGCATTTTAATTTTAAACACCGATTGACATTTGCAGTTTTTATCAATGTGTCAAAATCTCAAGACCACTTAGAACTGTTCTTTGATTGCATTCGCTCACATTAAGGCCACAACATTAACCCCACCGCCCGGCAAATTCTGGAGGGGTATTTTCAAACTCAAGAGAAAGTGACTTCTCTCAAGATTTTCTGGACATCATCGTAGAAACAATATTTTTAAAGCCAGTGAGCACTTACTGACTGTTTCTCTTTGTTTATTTCTCCCAAGAATTTGAATTTTCGTTGGCTTAAAAAATACTGTTTTCACGTTAACGTATGACATTTCTCATGAAAATATTGAGAAAAATGAGTCCTGCTTTGTTTGAAAATAAGTCTGTAGCTTACAAAAAATATTAGTAGGTACATGTCGAAGTGAAAGTTTTCATGGAAATTGTATTCCTCTAGAACAGCTTCGAATTTTAAAATGTCTTGTTCATCAAATCAACAAATCTTTAAGAGGCTATAGAGCTCTTGGCGTTTATCAGAAAGTTACGACAGTCTGATAGACGATACTGAACATGATGACATAATTACTAAATCCCACGCTATCGAGATTTACAGAAAATATTGTAACTTATATTGACGGTTATATTGTATATATTCTCTTAAAAAAGGCTTATTTGTGCGCAGAAAGGCATACAAATATTTTTATTAAGCGATAAAAATAATGAAAAAGTCCACACAGCATCCCTCTATGGATGTTTTAGACGTTAGTCTTTAATGTGAGCAAATAATAAAAAAGCAGCTGTTACTTTAAATTATCCACCTTATGTTAGCAGAATGTGTAGTGTTCAGTGTTACAAGTCGTTTATAAATAAAAATATATTTGCAAATCGCACAGTTTTGATCAGCATCTTTTGTGTAGCCATAATAGAGTACTATTAATAAAAGCTGCATCTAACAAATATACAAACATTTTCCTAATTAAAAATAAAATATGTGGTAGCATAAGAAATCACAACAATAAAATTGTATAATGTTTAATAGTCAATCATAATTTTTGTATTATTTGTTATTTTTTCATACTACCTACCTATTTAACAACTGTTTGATTATTTTATGTTAGATCAGTTACGGTCTAACATAAGAGTTATGTTTAACCATGATAGTATATTATATCAAATGAGAGTTCTGGACTTTATAATTATTCTATAAAATACTAACAAAATCTTCAACTTACACAATTTTTATTCTTTGAAACCTATTTAATTTTTTATTTCATAAAACTTATTTTGTTAATAAGTGGAATTACTGAAAATTAATTATTATAACCTTAATCATCCGTTTTAATTTTTTATTTTCATAAATATAACTCACATTTCCTTAAAAAAAAAGAAAAATGTTGGTTTGGATTGCACTTAAAATAGTCCGTACCTGGCAGATCAGCCATATTGAGTCGTCGTAAGCCACGCCCAGTGATACCGTTTTGAATGTTTGAAAAAAATGCTTGTAGCGTCTCCCTACCTTCTAACTCCATGAATCTACTGTATGATTAGCTGAACGAGTGTGTCCAAATCAGGAAAGCTTATAACATATGCACGTTATATCAACAGGTTAGTGCGCAACACATCCGCGCATACCAGTCCGTTTTACAATAACAAAATGATATTAAATTTAAAGTATACTGAATACTTGAATAATTCAAACATATTTCGCTTAGTAACAAAAGTAACACACGGAAAGTATTATATATTTATACCGGGTCATTCTATATGGGCGGAACACTTGATTTATGGCTTAACTATGACTTGTACGACAATTTGACTTAGATAAAGGTTTTTGTACATTTTATGTACTATTTATTGACGTTTACAGATTTCCCGCATACGTAATGATTTTCAAGATATGACGTCATCGGGCAATATTTTAAATGGATCACCCTGTATTTATATTTTTTTTCGAGTTCGTATGATCTGTCTGATTTCATCAATGGTACATTAAGTGGGTCCCAGACTTATTTAAAATATTGCCCGATGACGTCATATGTTGAAAAACATTACTTATGCGGGAAATCTTTAAACGTCAATAAATAGTACATAAAATGTACAAAAACTTTTATCTAAGTCAAATTATCGTACAAGTCATAGTTAAGCCATCAATCAAGTGTTCCGCCCATATAGAATGACCCGGTATAAATACTACAATTATTTGAAAAACATGAATTGATCAATTATTTGTACAATGTAAATCTGACTTTGGGATTGTTGTCCGATCGAACCGATACAATAACAAAATAATATGGTTATGTTGCTGAATAAAACGTGGTAATTACCTTTTACTTTTATTTAATTTTAGTTTGAGTTAAACATGTTAAATTTAAAATTAAACAAAGATAGGTATTTTGTGTTTTAACATGTGTTTAGCGGTCCTCTTCGTAATAAATTCATAATATCTAATTGTAATAGCGTTGTTTATATAAAGGCAAATAGTACAATTTACTGACCAATTTATGCTGTAAATTTTAAAAACACATTTTTTTATTTCCTTCCAATATTAAGCAAGGAACTAAATGATGCCGCATAAACTTCATCATTCCACTTGCGAAAAACCATTTATATGTTACAAGACTGTGTAAATTGGCTTTGCCTTTGGTACCCTTGAAAGCTAAATTAACACTAAAGAGTAATACTAAAGTAATATTGTTATCATAACGTCAAACAAATTACCAGTGAAAAGAAAATTACATTCGATTTTTAAATTAAACCAGTAAATAGGTAACTCCAAGGATGACAAAAATTTTATTTCATAATTAGAAAACAGCAAAGTAATAAAGGGTGTCCCAATAAGAACTTGAATTTTGAATCGCGCGCCATTTCCGTCTGTCAAACATCAAATTGGCCATATTATGCATGTGTTCTGTTGAAACATTGACATTAACGAAAATACTGCGTTACACTCTTGAAGAACGTTTATTATTTGTAAAGACCCATTACAGAAATGGAGAAAATTTAAGAGTGACAATGCGCAGGTTACGTGAACATTTCGGTGTACATAATCGCCCGTCGCGGCCCTCTATTGAAAATTTGATCAGCAAATTTGAGCGGAAATTTGCATTGAAAGACGAGACATGTGTTAGGCGTCGTCGTCCTGGAAGGTCTGCTGAAAGCATCGCCGCCGTGAATGTTAACGAACATCCAAACACTTCCATCTGACAACGCGGCCAGGAATTAAATATCACTCGTAGTACATTAGAACGAATTTCGACAAAGAATTTGCATCTTCATCCTTACAAAATACAGTTGACCCAAGAGCTGAAGCCAGCTGATCATAGTCAGTGCAGCAACTTTGACAATTGAATATTAGAACAACACGGAGTTGAGCATTCCACAACAAAATTATCTTTAGTGATGGGGCGTACTTCCATTTGAACAACTTTGTGAATAAACAGAACTGTCGAATTATATTGGGGGGAAGAGCATCCACATGCCGTGCACGAGCTTCCAATACATCCTGAAAAAGTGACAGTTTGGTGCGTCGTTTGTGCAGGAGGGATCATTGGACCTTATTTTTTTCAAAATAATGAAGGTGTCTCTGTGACTGTAAATGGTGATCGCTACCGTATCATGCTGAGAGACTTTCTTTAGTTGGAAGGGAATGGAATGGACATGAATAACTTGTGGTTTCAACAGGACGGCGCGACCTGCCACACCGCACGCGAAACAATGGCGCAAACAAAGTTCTCAGGTCGTGTCATCTCTCGATTTGGAGACCAAAACTGGCCGCCGAGGAGTTGCGATTTGACGCCCTTAGACTTTTTCCTCTGAGAGTATTTAAAAAGTAATTGTATGGAAGCCATCCTAAGATGATTCGACAACTGTAAGAAAAAATCGAACGTAATATTCGTGAAATCCAGCCGATTTTGCTCGAAAAAGTCTTCAAAAATTTCGTCAAACGAATATACACCTGTCAACGGAGCCGCGGTGGCCATTTGACAGATATTTTGTTTCATGTTTAATGTCAACATTTTCTCTTGAAAATACAATAACATATTTGCATAATTTTTGTTAATTACCGTGTTTTCTTTGTTATTAAAAATTCAAGTTCTTGTTGGGACACCCTTTATTTGCGAGAAGAAGGACCTCAAAGCTTGATCGCGCAGGCATCTATTATTTTAAAAGTACTACATCTAATTAAAAAAGATGAAGGGACTACTATTATTAATTATAAAATATTATAATGATAGTATAAAACTGTGACAATGTCTAAAAGAAAAAAGAGATTCAAAATGATATAAAGTTAAAATACTGATTTGAATTTTTTCTGTTTCAGATTATATGTATGGTTCTCCTTCTGTGTTGTGTTACCTATCAAGTTTACAGAAAGTTTTAGTTGTTTTATTTAAATATTGTTTATTTAGAAAATTTATTATAAATTAGTTTTAATGATATAATAGATATTACAATTATTTAATATTACATTATTTTATCCTTCCTAACATTACGGGTCTTAAAATTTTACATTTTGATTGGCATTTTGTATAAAATTTTAGTTACACTAATTAGAGTAGAGCTACAAAAAAATCCCGCTAATTTTTAAATAAAATAAAATATGCAGGTATCTATATTACCGACTGAGAAATAGTTGGACAAATCCCTCCCATATGGCGCGGATAGCAAACATGTTGCCATATTTATACAAAGAAACGGCAACTCTTAATTGTCCTTCCTCCATGGTCCAAATTAAACTCAAATTGATTTCGACGTAAGCAGTCGACGTACACTAATGTCTGCCTAACCGTGCTGACTCTAACAAACCATTCACCCCCCCTATTATTAACATTGTTAGATTTCAGCGGACGAGCGCGGCGCATAGTTTTGCGCCACGCAGTGTTCTAACAAACCGTAGCTTAATATAACAGTTACGTTAAATCATGATATATCAAATGAAATTGTAATTATTCTATGAAATATTATGTCATCCTGAACAAAAGTCTCCATGGACACAAAGTGCCAAAATAAATATTTTGGCATCTACGGAGCTGCCAAAGCTCCCCTGACCCGTTGCAAAACTATTCATTTTCAATACTATTTACAGATGTCAAAAGCATATTTTAATTATTCTAGTATATAAGGCGGATAGTCAAGGGCTGCAGCGGGACAAAGCGGAGTTTCTTAGGGTGCTTTTAAATGACATTTAAGCGTGTTAAACTGTCACTAATCGGACTAAACCGAACGCTAAAAGGGTCGTTTGGAGTTAAAAGTGTTAAAGGAGTTAAAGGAACTTGGCAGACCGAACGCAATGATTGGGTAATGTTTTTGAGGTCACTGGATTCAATCCTCATGTCAGATTGGACAAATTGACCGTTGACAGCTGTCAATTCACGGTCAACGAGGAATATAAAAGTAAATATCCTCTTTTCACATTGAGAGTTTGGGTTTTTAAGGTCGCTGAATTCAATTCTCATGTCAGATTGGACAAATTGACAGTTGACAGCGAACAGAGGATATTTACTTTTATATTCCTCGTTAACCGTGAATTGACAGCTGTCAACGGTCAATTTGTCCAATCTGACATGAGAATTGAATTCAGCGACCTCAAAAACCCAAACGCTCAATGTGAAAAGAGGATATTTACTTTTATATTCCTCGTTGACAGTCAATTGACAGCTGTCAACTGTCAATTTGTCCAATCTGACATGAGAATTGAATTCAGCGACCTCAAAAACCCAAACTCTCAATGTGAAATGAGGATATTTAGTTTTATATTCCTCGTCGACAGTGAATTGACAGCTGTCAACGGTCAATTTGTCCAATCTGACATGGGGGTTGAATCCAGTGACCTCAAAAACATTACCCAAAATATTTATTTTGGCACTTTGTGTCCATGGAGACTTTTGTTCAGGATGACAAAATCTACAACATATCAAAAATTCAGACAATTTGACAGAAACCCAATTTCCATAAGATTATTGCAGGGTCCTTTGCATAATTTGTAAGGAAACAACAAAATATTCTTAAAAAATTCTAACCTCGCGTGGTATTCGAGATTATTTAACAATATAAACAGTATTTTTATAAATATTTGCTTTGTTATCATAAGTTGATGTCGATTCTGTATTTTAAATGTAAATTTAAATAACCGAAACGATTTTTGTCCATTTTTCGTCACCATTTTGACAAACTTCACATTGACGTTTCGCATAAATCATTGATGCGTTACCACTGCAGCATGCATATGCATCATTCTATTGACAATTGTAACCTCAATTATAATATATTTATTTTCAATGACTTGCAATCTGTTTATATTGTTTATTAAAGTTATTTAGTTTTCAAAAAAGTCGCTTATTTTGTCGTGTATTGTGTTTAAATTATTTTGTGCTGATTTGTACTGGAAAATATGGACCAAAACAACATTATTACTAGGTTGTAAGTTTAACCAAATTCTATTTTTATAAGTCAACCTGCTCTTCTTTGATATAAACTTTCAATAATAATGCATATTATTGATTTTAAAACCAAAAGAATGAATTTTTCGAATCCTGTTTCATAATGTTCAACTGGTTGCGTAAAGTAGATCATTTTGACACTTGCTGCGATTACAAAAAATGTCACTTTATATTTCAAAATTAGAAAAGTACATTTTTTAATATGTAAATATATTACTTACCATTAATCTTAGTGGTCCAATTGGTGGTTGAGCATAAGGAATATCTTGAAAAGCATAAAATTCGGTATTTTTGTGTGTAACTATTAACTTCCCAAGAACGGTGCCATCAGTTATCCTTACTTCTTTATAAGCCGATTTCTAAAATATTCAGAAAAATAATTTAATATATGGAGAGAAAACAAATTAAATGCATATAAGTAGATGAAATAATATTTAAATAGTTTTGTTTTCTAAAGTGTATACAGGGTGTCCCGAAATTAGACTGTCATATTTTAACAGCGTAATCTACATCCTAAAATAGGAATAAAATTTCATATAAACATAGGTCCGAAAACGTTTCGTTTTCGAGATACAGGGTGTTACAAGTGAAGTACTGATGGTATATTTTTGTAAATATTTTGTAAAATTTCTTTAGTCACCGGTTTTCCAAAGTTAAAAAAATAAAATTTCTGATTCCACAGGCCTACTAATTATTTACTGTTTACACTTTCGAGTAAGATAACATCAACTTATCATGAAATTTTCAAATGCTTTTCTCTTGAAAATGGTGCGTCCTAGCGAGATGCAACAGAAGTAGCTTTATTATAAAGAAAACGTTGGTTTTTCAAATTTTATAGTCAAAAATGTTAAAAGCTGTCAACAATTTTATCCTAAGCCCCCCCTAATTTACCCACCTACGAAAATGATCAAAAACTGAGGTTTAGTCCATTAAATAGAGCGCAAAAATGTAAGCATTTGTACCAAATTTCACTTAGTTATCTTTAAACGTTTAGAAAATATTTACAAAAGTGTGTCATCAGGACTTCACTTTTAACACCCTGTATCTGGGAAAAGAAACGTTTTCGGACCTATGTTCATATGAACTTTTACTCTTATTTTAGGATGTAGATTACGCTGTTAAAATATGACCGTCCAATTTCGGGACACCCTGTATACTTTCTACATTTCTATAAGGCGTCATCTTTTAGTTTTTCAAATTGATTGTATATAATAGTATTCGTTCGACTATCGGAGAGTTCAGTTGAATATTTTAGAAGATTGCTTAGAATCTAGGTCAAAATGAATCGCGGATATTTACATAATATGTGCTAAATTATTGTGATCGTTCAAAAAAAATCAATGATTACTTAAAGTTAATGTTTTAAAGCAAAAGTGAAAGTATGCCAATAAAAAATAATTTTAAAATGTGTAGAGAAAATCAATCAATCAGTTTGCGATGACGAGGGAAAAAATAAGAAAACATATTGAGATATACTCTTAAAGAAAGAATGAGCTATACAGGGGTTGACTTAACAATTGCAGGAAATGCAATTAAGAATACAACAAATGGAAATGATAGGTACGCAAAAACAACAACAATAACAACAACAGCATATAAAAACAGACTCAGAAGAAGTCAATAAGGTAACAGATGGATAGTAAAAGAAGCAAAAGAAATAGCAAAAAATGCAAAAATGCGAGAATCTCCTGAAGTGTCACCTCAAAACACAACCAAAGAACAATACATCGTACAAAAGAAGCAAAATTAAAACACCCAAGTGAAAATGCTCAACAAAGTATTGCACAAAAAGAACAACCAAAACAAAAATTACCCCCACCGGGTAACTCAGGTCAAAAACTTTGAAGAGTTTGGACAAAAATTAATGAGTAAGCAACACAAATTTGTAGCTACCATAATAAATAACGATGAAATTAAATTAATAGAAATAATACCCAAACTAATTAATAATGCACAAATAATGGCAAATTTGACAAACTCAAACGTGGCTAGTAATAACAGATCTAATCAAACTGACAACGAATCTTCAACGAACCAAATAATGACTATGCTTAATACAATAATTTTAGACAGAATTGTCAGAAGAACGAGGACTCGATTTATTAAAACAAGAGAACGCAACCATAGTAAAAATTCCTAGGGTAACGCCTAAAGAGATAGCTAAGGAAATCATAGACAATATCAATTTTAAGAAAATACCCGGGTATGATCTGATTACAGGTGAAATACTACAACAATTGCCAAGAAAAGCAGTGGTTAAACTTACAAATATAATACACGATGTGTTTTGACTAGGGCATGTACTGGAAAGTCGCTAAAATTATAATGATACCCAAACTTAGAAAACCACCAAATGAAGTAAAGTCCTATAGATCTATATCCCTGTTACCAGTGTTATCTAAACTTTTAGAAAAACTTTTACTACTGATAAATAGTAAAAATATAATACCTGATCACCAATTTGGATTTAGGAACAAACATTCCACTATTGAACAAGTCCACAGAATAACGAATGAAATAGAAATAACACTGGGAGAAAAAAAGATCTGCACTTCACTCTTTCTAGATGTAGCTCAGGCTTTCGATAAAGTATGGTTAGAGGGCCTTGAATATAAATTAAACAAACTTCTACCTAGGCGATATTGTGACATCTTAAAATCTTAATTGACTGATAGAATCTTACAAGTAAAACAAGAAGAAGAATATTCCAAGCTTAAAAAAACTACAGCAGAGGTACCTCAAGGAAGTGTTTTGGGGCCAGTTCTTTACCTGTTGTTTACCTCCGACATACCACAAACGCAAAATGTAAAAGTAGTCACATTAAATATGGCTGCAAATTTTGATGACGACACGGCCATACTTGTCATCGATAAAATCATAGAAGAATCGACCAGAAAACTTTAACTTGCAACTAATAAAATTTATGAGTGGGCAAAAAGATGGCGCAACGAAACAAAAACAGTTCAGGTTAACTTCACTAATAAAATATCAGTAGAATACCTACCAGTGACATTAAATAATACTAGAATACCATATTCTAATTCAGCGAAATACTTAGGCATTAAAACTAGATACTAAATTAAAGTGTAAGCCCCAATGGTTTTTAAATGTTTAAAACAATATATTTATGCAATTTGTAAAAGAACTTTTTGGAATTTGCGGTCATATTGTAATATACCTTACGCTCTATTCAAGGTTCCATTACGGTTTTTGAAAATATTGTTCTTCTACAGTCTAATTTTGGATTACTTACGGTTTCATAATCTCCAAAATATTAGTTTTCAATAAATTAACAATTTAGTTTTATATAAAAGTTATATGAGTTTAAAAAAATACATATTTTAAAAATATTTTTGGATAAACAAGGTGTTGCATTTTTGCATGGCAAATAAAAATGTATATTTTATACATAATATTTTAGTTCATTTTTAGAATGGTTTGGTAATACTATATTCATCGTAGAATTTTTTTAAAAAAATTACAGGGTTGCCAAGCATTTAATTTTTTTCTGAAATTAAATTATAATATTTTACGTAGGTTTATAATTTCCAAATTGTTTAAAATGCAGACTTATAATATAATTAGCTAACGAATAGTGGTGAGAGAACTGTAATATTTTATATAGAGTGTTTTGAATATGGCTAATTTTAAGTTCAGTTTACTCAATTTTTTTAAACGCAACACCCTGTATATTATTGTGCGTATTTGATCGATAACTGTTTTATTATTGGAAATATTTGATTGTTCTTACATCGTCAAAAAATTTTAATTGACTTCATTCATTTGCTATGTTGTATATAGGGTGTATCAAATAAAAAAATAAATCTACTTACATTATAAGGGAAGCCATGAATTTGAGCAGCATAGAATAACCAAACAAATGAAAGTAAATTAGTCGCTCTCATTGTGATGGATGATCTCTGGAACCAGTGTTTTACACTATTTATATTTTCTAAATGTAATTTTTTTAAAATTTAAAGTTGTTTTGACAATTGTTTGATTAAATACAAAATAAGAAGTACTGATTTATTGTTTTTAGTTACTTTAGATTTTAATCACAATTATAATCGTACACTTCTTTTTATAAGTTCGGTGATTAGTTTTAGTTATTATTATATAATTATTACTAATGATGACTCTTAAAAATCGCTTTATGTTTAACTTTCACTTATATTTATTATTTAACAAAATAAATATTTATAAAATAACAATTACCATTATTTAATAATTTAAAAATATAGTTCATAAATATTATTACACTTTTGAGTTCCAGTTCAATGTCTTGAAATTTGATTTCAAAATAACAATTCAGCATGTTTTATTGCAGTTTGCACTTCGAACTTGAAGTGATATTTAAACAAGTTTGTAGTAATTGCATATAAAATAAATCTCAAAAATATTAAGAGCTTTAAATTTGAGCAACGATAAGGTAGCACTCTTAAGACATTTTTAAGAAACAAAAAAACTACTAGATGTTAAAACAAAATGCAGCAAGTTTTCATAGATTTAACACAGAATGGCGCTTAATGTATTTTTTATTCTTCCAAAAAATTATCAAAATATACTCTTCGAAGGTTTACAAAAAAATCTCCCCCAAGTTTTGTTATTATTGGTATATCCTGAAAATTTCAAAAATTCAAACTAAAAATAAAGGCTCAGTAGGAACATTTTTTTAATATTTTTGTTTTGCTCTTAAACAAAAGAAATATTTCATGTAAAGGATGTTATTTTTATTATACAGTGCTTTCATTTCAAAACAAGCCAGTCCAAATAGTTTTTAATTTACTTAAATTTAAGAAAAACAAACAAGTTAAATTTTATATCACGAGGGTTTTAAAATGTGAAAATGTATACAAAATACAAAATTATAATCACAAAGGGACTGGGAACATTTTTTTTAAGGTGCTGCAAAATAATAAACGTGTGTTTCTTATTCCTATTATATGAACCCCTTTTAAACTTAACTTGTATGAAATAAATACCCACTGACATATTAATAATAAATTGAACTAGAAATTTGTATGTTAATTAGTAAGTTTTTACCTTGCAATAAATTTAATCAAGAAAAATTAAAAATGCTGTACAACTTCCTTATTGTCGATGTAAAATTAAAAAAAAGCAACAAGAAACCAATAAAATTTAAAATGAAATATTGGATATGGAATGGGTAAAAATATGATAGAGATTATTTTCACTCATACTACCTACAAGTAAATTGTCCCAATATTCTAGAAAAATTCAGATATCTTCCAGTTTGTATTTATCTGATGTAAGTAGATTTAATAAGAAGACATAAATCTAAACCACTATTTTTCTACGAGATGAACTTATTTAATTTTTTTTCTTTGCTGTATCCTCGATTATCAGATTGATCACTATTCTCCGATTTATTTGAATTATATTAAATTGCGTAAATATATTTTCAATAATATACCCAAGGCTGTTCTACCGCTTTCCGTTCAGTCGAAGTTGAGAGGTACCTTATCCATTTTATAGAATATCTCTATACGCAACCCTCTCTTTGTTTATAGAAAGACAATGGGCCATGTTCACATGTGAGATATGCTGTTTTATAAATTATATTGTAATAGTTAGTTGCTATACAAGTTATTCTAAATAGTCAGTTCGTTAAAAAAGCCAAAAATTTTTAAATTAAGCCCAATTGAAATTTAAAATTTGAAATTATACGTCATCGGGAATAGACCAATCATCTTGTGTCGACGTTTTTTTTGTTATACAAAACCAAGCCAACGAACAAACCGACACACAGAATGTCGAAGTGACATTAAAATTGACACCACCAAACACCTAACCTTAGTTTTTTGTTTTGGTTTAATTTTATTAATATTATTAATATGAATCAGCTGGATTTATAAAAGTTGAATTAAGTGTTTTACCCATTGTAAACGAAAATATGATTACTGCATTTTTTAACAATATTCAGTTTACAAAAGTCAGAAAGGTAAGACTTTGTTTTAATAGTAGGTAGTTACAGTTTATATGGAGCGATACACCTTATAGTAAAACATATTTATCTCAGGTTTTATTTTTAGATCTGCCAAGCAAGAATATGGGGATAATTTCTTTTTCCATAAGAGAGAAGGAGACAAATTACACCTAAACATAAAGTACGGCAAAAACCTTCTGATGTGGTTGTTGTAATTAACAAAAATGAAATTTTTAGTGCACAATGCTTAGGATATGCTGCATGTCAAGGTTTGTAATATTTAATATGCTTTTTTGTTTTTATATCACATATAATAAACAGTGTATAAGGCCCTTTATTCCTATAAATATTTTTTTTCTAATTTTGACATATACATTTTTTGTAATCCCAACAAGTGTTAAAATAATCTAGAAATAGATTTTGTTAGTGAACCTAGTAATAATTATGATACCAAAGAATGCTGCAGAGCACCTATGAAATTTTGAGTTAAAAAATATGCCATATTTTTAGGCTATTTTTATACCCTTTTCAAAAATTTTATGCTCCTCGTTTTTTGCAAAACTTAAAATGCTCTGATAGCTTCGAACGAAGTCAGCAAAGCACCTCTGTTTTATAAAGTTTTTTCTGTAAAAACAGCAACACCGTATATATATATATCCACTTGAAATATTATATTTTTAAAAAATACATGATCCTTGCTAACCTTCGAAAGAAGCCAGCAGAGCAATTCGGTTTTTTAAAGCTTTTTCTAAAAACCACACCCCATTTTTAGAATATTTTTAGACTCTTGAAATATTGTAAAACTTTACTAAAAAAATTGCTATTTTTAAATAATACAGGGTGCTTTGTTGGAACAAAGTCAGCAGGACACTTCAGTTTTTTAATTTGTTTTTTTATATATAAAAACAACTACTTATGACACATGTTTAGGTTTTAAAATCCTAAAAATGTGGTAAGTATATTTGTTTTCAGAAAAAAAACTTTGAAGTCAGCAAGGAATTGCGAATTTTTTTAAAAATGCCAAATTTCGAATATTTTATAATATTGTAGGAGCCAAAAAATGTGGTGTGGTTTAAAAAAAAACTGGGGTGCTCTGCTGGATTCGTTTGAAGCTAACAAAGCATCCCGTAATTTTTTATTTTATAATACTCAATAGCCTAAAATGAGACAGCTGTTTAAACAAAAAATTGTACTTTTAAAAATAGCAGTTTTTTTCGAAAAGCTCTATAATATTTCAAAAATGAGAAAATGTGGTGAGATTGTTTTTTTTAAGTTTTGAAAATCCGAGGTTCTTTACTGGATTCGTTTAGAGCTAGTAAAGCTCTGCTCGTCTTGTTACATAAAATAAGGCATTTTGTAGCTGGTTATATAGTTATTTTGTAACTGCATATCTAACCCTTTTATTTTTTTCAGGTGGTTGTAAACATGTGGCTTCATAGAAGAAGTGAGGAACCATCTGTAACATCTACTCAGTGTTATTGGAAAGGCTCTAATTTATCAAAATGCGTAAATATTGATGTACACTTGGCTAGATTGTTAAAGAAACCTCTTCATCCACTACAGGAAAATAAATCAGTACTTTTATATTCTTAGGATTTGTATATATATTTTTTATTTGTAAATAAATTGTTTTTTACTTCATTTTTCTCATTTTTTATTAAAAGGTTAATAAATAAAATTTTCACAGATTTTTATATTTTTGTTTGTAAACAATAATTGAAGAGTTTTTATTAAAAATCACCAATGTTAATAATAATAACTTAAGTCAATATTATTCTTTCTCCTTTTTTAAAGCTACTATCAATAAAGGTATTACTTTAGCTTGACCTATGATCAATTTTTAATTTTGTGATATATTTGGTTTGACAGAAAAAAATTATAACCCTTTGACATTGGTTGTTTTTACTTAGATTTTCATAAAAAATAAACGGAACTGCAAACATGTTTTACTATCGTAATAACGAATAGCAACATTAAATATTTTTTTTCACATTTATCACTGTTGTCATTTTCATAAAGGATTGATAAGAAGGCACACTTTCTGGTTTTTTGAAAAACGTGGCAAGAATTGTGATATTTTTAAATTTATCACCAGTGATACCACATGTAGTTATCCGATTTATTGGAATATATAGACTTTGCTACCACATTCAACTGAACTTGGTTGTTTTTAATATTTATCACTGTGACATAGGCGTTTTTGTTAAAATGTTTCATTTTAAACTGCTGTAAATAGGTGCCTTTGTTTTGGTAGTTTTAGTCCCAAAAAATCTATGCATATACAGGTACTCATTCCTCTTTGATTTGCTCGAAAAGTTAAAATTTTATAAAAAATTACATTGGCTGTTTAAAAACTCATTATAATCCCTGAAATGTGATAATTAGGTAAATTAAATTAAAAAACAAACAAAAAAGTTTATTAAATTAATATTTACTCTTACAAAATAGGTTCTTGTAAGTTAACAAGCAATTATGCAGATATTACTAAGTAAATGTACTTGCTTAAAATTCACACACGAATGTGGTTTTAACATGTTAAATTAACCTTCTTATAACTCTTTCCACATGTATTCTTAGAGATGCTATTCTTTAACTTAATTGTACATCTTCTGGAGAACTTTTTTCATTCTGTGATACACTAGGTGTGGCTTTACTAAAGTGCATCCCATGTTTTCAAGTAGCTGAATATTCTGAAACCCCCTATCTGCCATTATATGGGATCCAGGAACCAGTTTGTTTAAATACCCACATTTTTCTATTATTTCTTTATCACTAGTTCTTCCACAAAATGATGAATAAATTCGGTATCTTCAAAACTTTCAGGAGATTCTGCATTTTCTTCCAGAAGGGTTTTTAGGTTATGCACCTAAGAATTTATAGTAGCCTCATTTTCAATTTCCTGAAGGGGACAATTAGCAGAAATTGCTGCTACATCTTGATAATCCGGTGTATTTTTATTAAAAAGTTCACGAGAAACATCGCTAGTAGAAGGTTGATTTTCTTCTTTCCAAATTTCTAGGAACACTAATAAATATTTTTGAAGATGAATGTGAATCATTATCACATTCTGGAACAAAACACTTTTTCGTAGTCATAATATTTATAAAAAGTACAAAATTAAACACTCAAATTCCAAATAAATTCTTGATCGAGACACTATGATGACAGATGCCATACACAGTGCTGCCATTTTGCCATTTTCTGAATTATTAAGTGACTT